TTCTTGTTGATTGATTAACTTTTAGATTAACCTGCTGTTTAAGGTTTATTGATAAAAAAATTCAACTTATGGATAAAAAAAAATTATATATGGGTATTCTCCCAGTAAAATTTCAGGCTGATTAAGGTGAATTCCATTTCTGTCTTAGTCTATAAATGGCCCTTACCAGGCTTTTTATCAATCTGTTAAATGATGTGGACAAACTTCATGGCGTATGATGACAGTCCATCAGTTGAGAGTTCACCACTGGTCACTAAGGTGTTAGACCATCCGTCATCGGAAGGGAACTGGTTTCAACTGGTCAAGCATTTGATCTTATGCAGTATATAAGCAGAAGAATGCAATAGTCGACAGCTAGACTTCAGCACTATGATTTATGAAGTTCTGTATCTATAGATAGACTAGTGTAAAGGAACTGCAAGATGGGAAAATATCTATTTAGCACTAGTTCTACTAGTAGCTAGTTTAGTTGATAGACATTAGTTATTTAGTATAAGAGCTAATTTTGAATATCCTCTAATATACATCTTTAATTATTGAACATGTTGGAAGTTCATGTACTACTAGACACATCTGATTGTTTTTGCAATGCCAAATGAAGACTTGAAGTATTCCTGATTTTTTTTCTTTCTTTCTGAAATGCCTGTTGATTATGATTGAAGCACTTGAAATGAAATTATACATCGATCATCAGTTTGTCCTACAGGTGACTGAGGTGAACATATCATGGGAACAGTGTCTTATCATATCTGTGCTAGTCTACAAACCTAACTAAAATCGCTCCATAAATTTTACCTTTAAAACAGTACATAGATAAAACAGTTATGACTGTTCCTTTCCTGGAAATCAAGATAAGTTTAAATTGCCTGAAAAATTAAAGTTAACTCCATATGTTTTAGACTAGCAGAAGGATCAAGAATTTTTAAAGAGCGTAAGGCAGATGAGGACATTGAAATATTTAAGGGTGCATGCTGATGCATCATATAATACATGTACATATTATATACACTTATATTTAAAAACAAGCAGCCAGAGATATGTGTACATGAATGTTTTAGTCATGTCAAAAATAAGAAATCATGCATTTTCGTAATAATTAGTTAAATGTAAATCTATAAATGGTTTAAGTTAAAGTGATATTCCTCATTTTTTAATTTTTTTTCCTACTGCATATTATTTTGAAGAATATAATTTTCCTGTTCTGTCAATTTTTCTCGGTTTTGTGAATGATGTATGCCTGTAGGAATACAGCATTAACTGTATGTTTTAAAAAGGTTAAACCTCCCATAAAAGAACTTTGTATTACTTAATATGCAAGTTTATTAATAAGGTAAGGTAAATATGTTACACATATGTCAAAGGTCAGAGATAATTTAAAACACATTTGTTGAATAAAATTTCGCATTTTATTTCTGGGATAAAGGAATATTACACCACAATCGCAGTTTAACTGCATGACCATTTTGTCTAGTACTTTATATTAGATTTTCTTCCACTTGAGTCTAAATGAAACAAGTACAAGTTGACAATTCATAAATAATTTATCAGAAAACTTCCTCCGATTAAGTAAATAATCTTGTCAATAAGGACATCTGAGAAAGGTGAATTCAGTCGTTCTCAGTACACTTCAGGTTGGTAGGAGGGGGTATAGTAAAGTGTACCAGATGGGAAAAAAAATTTATCCAAATTGTAAAACTCCAGAAAAGAACTCAGAGACAGGTTATTAGGGTATGCTTTTTGTAAATTACATTTAATTAGGACGGAAGAGTTCGATTGGTTACTTTAAATATATTGATAAGCATGAAGTGATCACTGGAGAACCGTGTGGAGGAATTTGTTCCACTGACCCAGTCTCTCAGATGTGGCCTAACAGAAAGGTCATTTGTCTAAGATGGAATCTCAGGGGATATTACAACCTGTACTGCTAACTGACAGAAGTGGAATATATTACCATTTATCAGGCATTTATAGTTCTATCTAATCTTAGAAACTCGGAATTTTATGAAAGTTCATTATAGTTCTTCTTTTGTAATTACCGGTACAGATGTTTTATGCCTTTCCTCATACCAGGGTGATTAAAATTTCAGATACTCGAACACAGCAGAGTTGTCAGCTCTAATGATTTTGGTGGAAGGAATATTATGGTTTCAGCATTCGAAATCTTTTAATAATCTCTAGTTTAATGTCTTTTTCTCCATCAGAAGTTTGAAAACTCTGAATTTCCATAGCTGTCAACATTCATTTTCCATTATTAAAATGAAGTCATAATTTCTATACCTATTACTTTTATTTCATTGCTCCTCTCTATGCTATTAATTTGCATCTAAATCATAGATGCTTGAGCATGTTAAGGCTTTAAAATGGTTCCTGGACCCCACCAATGATTTTTCCTTCCATGATCAGCTCTGATACAGCAATTAATTCATTCTTAATTTGTTACCTCAAAAAAGTTCTTTAAATTACTAAATTTATAATTTTAAGGGAAGGGGATCTTTTACAAAGACAAATACGATATGGAGTCTTTAAAGAAATACGCACGCTAACTCTCGATTCCCGCCTACATTTTTGGAACCATTTAATTCAATATAAATAGCAATTTGGTCATAAAATCTTTGTTTAATACAAAGAACAGTTCAATGGTAATTGATATATTGTCTTAATACCAGCGCTAAACAGTAAATTATCCATAATTCCAGCTCCTGAAAAAGGAGGATAGACGATATTTTCCATTGAAATGGAGTTTCAAGCATCACCATATTTTGAAATATTCTTGGATATGATTAAATGTTCCTTATATCTTTTCTTATGTTTTAGGCAAATAAAACATAAATATTTCAATAAAATATAATGTTTCAGTAGTTATCGCTTTGAAATTGATGGAAAATAAGCATTTTTATCATTTTTTGTCAATAAACATATGTTCCTCCCGTGTCACATAAAAACCTTTGGTATGAATTTGTGAAATAACATTCCATATTACCTGTAAAAAGGAATTTTTGTGACATGGGGGGAAAGATGTTTTAAAAATGTTTTCCGTTTTCTGTTGATTCCTATATAGTCATGATAGTGAAAAACACAAGTTTTACCAAAATTTTAGAGTTATCTCTCTTTGTTTTCCCAAATAAGTAAGTTTTATGAAAATCCATATAATTATCTATAAAAAAATATTAAAAATTCATCGAATATGTTAACTTTTGAAAATTGACTTGGAGGCGGGAGAACAATACTATTGTTCACAGTTCTTCCAGTATAAGAGACTTGATAAATAATTTGATTATAGATTCTCCGTGTCATATTTTGTCTATTAAATAAATGGAATAAGAAATTCCGTATACCAGCCAGAACAGCTTGGTTCGTTGTATAGCTATTTAAGTACTTTTAGTTTGAATGTGTTGAATGTCAAGGTCAAACCTTTGTGTGGTCAGTCCAGTCAGATTTAAAAGTATCGAATTCACTGAAACATAATCTCTATTTGGAGAGTTTAAATGAAAAGATCTCTTCAAGCACCTGAGTTCAGACCAATGTCATTAGAGTACCTGGTAGAATAAAGCTTGGGATAACTGAACCATTGGATAAGGGTCCATGCAATGACCTCCATGAGCAGTAGGACATTATCGCAGAATGACACCTGTGTTTCTTTTCTTTATTTTTTATGCCATTCTTATGAGGGCTGTTAAAAAAGTTCACAGACACCGACAATCTATGTTACATTCGTTTTATCCACCAATTTTAAGCTTCCATTCAAGTCACTTATCATGTTTATATATCGTCTATATTAATACCGTATATATTTTCTAATGCATTTGGTGCATTATGTTTGTCAGACTGTATGTTTCTTCTATTGACGAAATAATCAGACCAAAGCATTTCAAAGAAATCAAGGACACACTATACCACTGAAATCAATTTCATTACATCATGTGTAAACATATGAACTCTTCACTTGATGATCACTGTACCTCTTTCTTGTGTAAATCTTTGGGCTAAAAAGGCAAGAAGATACATTTATCAGTTTTTGGAGTCTTAACTAAGACAGTATAACAATGATGCTGGATTTAATGTCTGACAGTATGTAATAGACAATAATGATAGGTGTCACGTCCCAGCCTGGAGTGTGCATTTAAAAAGAACACCCTGGGTGTTTATAAACACGTCATTCAGAGAAATAATCCGGGTCACTGATTCTGCACTTCATGGTGCGTATTTGTCAAAACAAAACATTGGCAAAGAAAACATGGATTATTTAAGTTATTAATTTTGGTTAGTATTCTACATGCTTAGGTTCTAATTTTGCAACTGGACAGGACTTCTTTCTGACTGGAATACTACTTGATTAATTAGCCAGTTACTGGACTTAAATGATATCTTGTAATATTCCCTGCTGTTTTAGATTTTCTGCAAGAATTGCTCTTTCAATGTTCTTATGACACAATTTCTTATCATTTGATGATAGTAAGACATGCAAAGTTGAGGTACATGTAACTCTTTTGATTACATATATCAGTAATATTTGTTCAGTGGAAGCATGCGTAATGTGTACATGTATGTATATACGTCAACTGGGTTCTCTACCAGTGTGTAATAGATAGTGGTAGGTCAGTTACTGAGATTTGTTTATCTGTGTAAACAACATTTGATACAACTGTAAACTGTTTTGTACTCTTAGTTTTGCATAAATGATAAGATGCCCATTGTAAATCTGAAAACTCATGTTTTTTTTTGTGTTTTTTAATCACCTTGTTCAGAAAGCCACAGAGGTTAGACAGGTTAAACTAAGAGACAATCATGTTTGTTTTCACGGTTTGGAGATGAAAACCAGTTTGATATTAAAATTCATATTTTTTTGCAACATTTCTTATACATTGTCAGAAGTGGTGAAATATTTATGTAGCATGGTCCAGCACGTGATTCGGTCTCTATTGTGTTAACTTAGGTGCATGTGTTATTTGATCTCCATCCAAACAAGACCTGCTGTAGACTATAATACAGAGTCAGATGATTCCACGGGGCATTCTAAGAGTTGAGCTAGAAGGGAACATTAGTGGACTAATGTGTTAAGGTGGCTCTATTCAGTGCGACTTTTTAGTGGATTCAAAGTCACTTTCTTGTGCTGTGTCAGCAAACATACCTGGTGTATATAAGCTAAAATGTTTCAATAGATTTAAATGTTGGACAAGAGAAGAAAGAAAAATAGGAACCATTCTTCCAATGCCCCTGACATTGTTTGATTAATCTCTCTCCACAACAGCTGACCGCTCCAAGCAAACAAAAGGAACAGGTCAGTATTATATACTCAGGCCCGTGGTCAGTGGAGCAAGTGGTCATCTAAATTTTAATTGGAAGGTGTTCATTACAAAACTCCGTTGATATTCCCTAGAGCTGCTCCATGTCACATGACATAGACGGAGGTGTCCCGGAAATACTCTGCTCATTATATAAAGTGTGTATTCAAATGACTGACACCTTTTGGTTGTAAGTGCTGGTGTAAGCAGACGTTTGGGTGATGGTTCGTCTGCTTACATTTTGACAGTTGGTTAACCCTGGCAGAGCTGCCTTGCTCTGTGACAGTTCCAAACTGATCAGAGACCCAGTCTCTTCTTCTGTCTCAGGGATTCAGATTTCTACCGATTTCATTGAAAGGAATATTGATTGATTGGAATAGTTAAGTGAGAGCTTTGTCAGGTTTGTACCGTTTGACTTATTGACCGGTTCATGTTGGAACAGCTAAAGAGGTGGTTGCTGATGAAGGGATCAGAATCTGTCATTTAAATATAATGATTGATTTATCAGCATTTACTGGAGTCAGTATCTGATTTATTAATTTGAATAACAGTTAACTGTAGTTTTCAGTTTTAAGTTGTTGTTTTTTTTAATTGTAATCTAATGAAAGATTCCTGCATTTTTTAATTGCAAGAAATGCAAATTAGATGAATAAATCTTTCAATTTTTTTCATATATACTTTTTATATCATTTCAGTTATTACACATCCAAGAACGCCTTCATAGCAGACAAAATTATACGTAAATGGCCATCGAGGATAACAAAGACACCAAGATGGAGTCAAGCAGTATTTTAGAGAAGCAGGTGAACAGTGACATTCTAAGGCAGGCGGCCTCCAAAACGTTGTCTGTTGGGATCACATCACTGGAAATCTTCAGAAACAGGGTCTCCAAGAGGGTCAAAATTTTGGACGTAAAACTGTCTTTGTCCTACCAGGACAACTTCCAAACCGAGACCGAGAGACTGGAGAAACAACTCGTGCGGCATGGAAAGAAATGGTCATGGCCACCTGCACCAGGGTCAAGGTCCATAGCCACTTTTCCTTATTGTCCGGGAGACAGGGTAAATCTTAATGTGGGACTCATTGTGCACACCACTAAAAAGCATGGATTCTTTAGCAAGGAAGTGATTACAAACCCTGCAGGAAATGCCACAGAGTGTATCGTAATGGCAAAAAACAATGGGGTGGGAATTGGGCTTCCTTTACATACTGTGATAAATCAGCATATCCGACTCAATTTTGATGTGGATGGGTACGGTCACCACCTAACAATGAAGCTTCGGTGCGAGTTGTTGGGGGAGTCCAAGGCCAACCCCTCCCTGTGGCTCCGCCCCTCCAATGCTGATAAGCCATTCAGAACCTCCTTATCCTTGTTTGACATTCTATCCAGCACTGAAAATTTTCCATCAAAGCAGAAATCAGAAGATTCTGGAAAGACACGGGGATACATCTGTAACAGTCAGAGGTCAGTCTAAGTCTCCCCCCCCCCCCCCCCCCCCCCCCCCCCCCCCCCCCCCCCCCCCCCCCCCCCCCCAAATGTTCATAATTTAGGGATTCAGAAATTTTGTGCAGAAAAAAATATAAAAGCTACAGGTAGTCCAACATTAAATTATTACTTAAAAACTGTGCAAGTTTTGCATAGCAGCTTCTGTGTTAAATCACAGTTTTTAGTTCCTTATCATAAATTAGCTTGTTAAAAACCTGGAGGTAAAATTAAAAAAAGCACAGTGGAATTTTTTTCTCTCTTGTAATAAATTATGACTTGTTCACATTTGTCACATTAGCTATTTTAATTTTTTTCAGGTTGGTGAATTATTTACGAACAGCTGTAACAGAATGCTGGTCATTCCGGCCGTGTTGCTCCAATCAGGAAATTCCGTCAGGAATACAGGTGCGACAGATCAGCTCCAATAAACCGGTCGCCTGTTTGATTCCTGTCGTGGAACACAGGGAGTATAATGTAAGTAAGAAGGTATACAATTTAAACTAGGTTATAATATGAATATATAGTCAAAATGGCTATTGTGTACCCAGAACTTTGCTATAACTGGGATATACTGTAGCATGGTGTAGTCAAACCTGTATATCTCAAACAAAGTAGGACTATTGAAAACTTTGGCCTGTCCAATGGCTTGAGGTACTTGTATTGCTATTTAGGTCAAGTCCTCTGACTGTGACTCACTTTGACGCCCAGGGTCTTATATGTATTGATACCCAAGTTTAATGTATTGACCATTTTCTCCCCCGGGTAGGAATGGATGTAATTTACCATTATCTAGGCATACACATTAAACAAAAAGACAGGCAATACTTTTTTCATAAGAAAATGTTTTTATCTGGATAGTATATCTGGATAGTTCCAACCCAGTCTTTTACTGTGGAGTATATTAAACTTTACTCAAGGTTATTAAGTGTATGTATGCAATGGAGAAAAGAGTTGATGTAAAACTATTGACCTAAGCATCCCAGTATATATCATGTATAGGGAGTTACATCACTAAGAGGGGCCCCGGGGCTTACAGCTTGAGTGATGTTGTTATCTACCCTTGGATCAGAAATCTCTAGGTAAATCTGAGTCCAGTTAGGGTCATTGGTCACTTAGTGACACTAGAGCTGGTCGTTCCTCTCACAGCCACATACCTGTAATTACCAGTTATAATATTATAATACCTAGACATGTGCTAAGCACATGCTAACATCAAGGATTCAAACATCACTCCTCATGTTCTTATAGATGACGGAGTTACTGAGAAGTTGTTCATCCAGTAAATTAGATATTCATGTTGTCATTTATCTCACAAGAACGGTCTTATATTTTAATTAACCTTTTGATTATATTAATTAACAAAAGGATTATGGTAAACAAGATTTGGCAAGGACATGAAATGTTGCTGACATTTTACATTTAATAGTAAATGCATGAAGTTTACACCCCCAGTAGATTTGTTTCTGAACAAGTATTACAATAAGTAATGCGCAATTACAATTTTTTTTTCCGACATTCATCTCTGCTTACAGTAACGATGCAATATTTTATGCTAGCAGTTTTAATTACATCAAATAATGGAGTGATAATGGTAAACAAAATTTTGAAAGGATACTTAATAATACTGACATTTTGCATCAATGTATATACATGAATCTTGTAGACAAGTTCTTGTAGAACTTTAGAAAATTCTTACGATGTACATATTTAATCAGGGTGTAGTCCTTTGACTGATCATTTTTATGAAGTCTGAAGAAATGGCAATTTATTGACAAAATTTGTTAATTCTGACATTTTACAAAAATGTTGTGGAGGATAATTGATTAAGTGCTTGCTTAATTATTAAAATCGAGATTGTAGAACGTACATTTCGAGTAAAGAAATAATCGTGGCTGTGGTGGAACGGAATTAATAAATGCTAATTGATGAGTAAGAAACATGATCAACGTGCACAACATAAGCATGAAAAATGTTAATCTCTTCAGACAATTGGCTGGAAATTTCCTATATCGTGTTGATTGTAGCTGATATAGAATGTTACAAATTGGGTTTCACTATAAACTAAGTTAATGTATTGGTGCATTAATAATTTGATACAAGTCTAAGAATATTCATACATATATAGAAATTATATATATATATTTTAATTTTATAATTGAAGATAGGAAAACAAATGAATTTAAATATAATGACAAAATTTCAACCGATATAGCTATATTTTCTCTGTACCTGAAGAAGCATCATACAGTTAATTAATTAAACTATATTTGCCCTGTCATAAAACAAAGGACTGTTGTCAGTCTTGCTAAATATATCAACATTATATTTTAACTTGTATGATTTATATTGTACATTGATGTTTAAAAAAAGCCACAGACATATTTTATGATTTTAACACACAGCTATATTGCGTAAGTTGTGTAAATCAACTCGATATTGACGTATATGTCACTGTCAACATCAGTAGATTGAAATCACTCCACAATCATGCTTTTCTGATTTCAGATTTATGGTAAAAATATGCAGAAATGTTAATGAGTTTGAACAAAAGCCCGCACCTTGTTACCTGTATCACAAGGTCAAATCAATAATCGAAAGGTCAAAAGGTGGAAAATCCCTCCCATCAAAAGAATACCTGAGTTTATGTTAAATAAATGGCCTGTGGTAATTTAGAAAAGGTGAAATTATCTCTCTAGCTTTTATTTAAGTTAAAGCGAGTTTCACTCGATCATTCTATTAAAGCAGTCACTGGGTCATCTAAAAGGGTTATTAAACGTTAAATATAAGTATAGACTTGGGGGTTAACACAACTGGACTTGCTCGTTGGAATTGCCCGTGCTGAGTGCTTTGTTACATGCACCTGTATGTAGTCTTTTGTTTGAATCAAGTGGAAAATTTAAATATAATTAGGCCTAGAAAAAAATTATGTTTGTTTCCGCTTTCCCGACCGACCCTAATTTATAGTGCCAACCCTAAATATTTTTTTAATGCTTTTGTCCCATGATGTGCAAGATTTCAACCAGGGAATTATAGCCTCCAACTTTGCAAGCTTTTCAAGACAGAAAGAAGTTTGGGTCACCTTTCTATTATAAGTTAAGTCACAGTAATGCTTGAAAACACCATTTCTTTTGTCATTAATGTTACTTCTATACACGTTTTGATTAAAGAAGCAAAAAAATTTTTTTCAAAAAAAAAAAAAATTGGCTACCTACCTACCCTATATTTTTTCAGCCTGAAAGCGGAAACAAACATATTTTTTTTCTAGGCCTTATGACTTTTGTCATTAACTTCTTGACTTTGAAATAGTTGTGATAAATTAACTTTTAATTAGTTATCATTAATAAGTTGGTACCATGGTACTGATTCAGTGTCCTAGATCAGTAAAGTGATGTGCGCTGTATTAAATAAATCATAAAAATAATGTTTTATATCTCTGAAAAAAATGATACTGGGTATCATAAATCATCGTCTTATTGTGGAATCTTTGGAGTATATGTGATAGTAAAGGGAGAACAATCAACTGAAGGACATTTAATTCTGGTTGATATTCACAAGGAGAAATGAAGGGCAAGTCAGTTGTACTGAGACACTGTCTATGCTGGCTTCTATCATTGTACCGGGTTTATGATGTAACATAAAAATTAAGGGGGAAGGGGGGGGGGGGACAGGAACATTTCAATACCCATTGCAGGAGATGCTGTGAAATCTTACAAATGATGAAATAATTAAAAGGGTGGATTTTGTAAGGAAAGTGGGGAGTTGGAATAAATTTAGTAGATAATGGTGTACATTTAAAACAATTATAGCTAGTACATAAACAAAACACTTAAATATTTAATATGTACTAATTTGTGTATAGTATAAACCAAAAAATGTAATATATGATAGTGGAATGTTGGTTTAATATCAAATGATTGTTTGGAACAACCTTACCTACTCTCTTTGTATGTTTAGTTTTAGTGACTCAACAACATTCCGTCCATTTTTTCTTAACATTCATTGATAAATATGACTTGATTAAATTCCAAACACTCAAATGACCTCTGTCTTATTGAAATTCAATAGCATGAACAGGGTTTTACACCACAACAGTGAAATATTTTTGCATCCCTAAAACTGTTATTTTTTCATTGTTCTCGAGAATTTTAAAGATCTGACTCAATCATTTTTTTTTGTTTTACAGGGGAAACAGCATTTGAAGCTAGCCTTGTTAGTTGTGGGGAGTCGTGGCCCTTACTGTCTCTGTGCCACCAGGTGGCGTAGTGCAGGTGAGTGTACAACTGCACCTTAAATGTTTAAATTAATACATGTAGCTGGCAAACTTTTAGTTCTTGGTGATAGTGCACATTCTTAGCTTGTCTAAAGGAGCTTGAACTTATTAGGTAAATAGTCTAATAAGATGCAGCTATGAACATACATGTCATTAAAATTCCTTTGGGATTAAATTAGAACCTAGCATACAGAGGGTCAGATTAATTTAATGTGATATTACACATATTTGCATTCATGTCTCAAATGACAATTAGAGCCTAAAACTGCTTACCACATTCAGAATAGCAGTATGAAATGTGATGACATCATCAGAGATCTTTTGGATGAAGGACTGAAATTAAATTTGATGAATCATCAGTAAGGAAATGTATTCTGAGTTTGACAGACAGACAACGTAATAAGACGTCTGTATGTGTTAATCAGACATCAGCTGTCAGTGGTACACAGGTTGTCTCTTACCACCTAGCACACTTCCTGTACCGGACAGAAGTTAAATTTATAACCGCTACTATATATAGGCAATATGTTAATAAGCGAGAGGGAAACGGCTTGTCAAAGTAAGATGTATAGTGCATATCGGTGTATAGGCCAAGTAACACAACGTATTCCTTTAAGGTCCTTTTCCAGTTTGAACCGGCTATCTTGCTGTTTAAGTTTTTTTCTTCAAGTTTTATTTGGAAACCACAGTGCAAGCCTGTGCTTGCTAGACCACATGCACATTAAAAAATGGTCCCTTGTTTTTTAAGGACGTAGAATGAATGATGCGTTGTTAACTGTAATGCATATTAAATCAAATATGAAAAATGAGGAGACAATTAAATATAGTCAAGAACTAATTACTGACAAGTTTATACATAAGAAGCCAACTAAATAGCCATATAAAGCCAGAGACAACTGTCTGTTTTACTCTTTTGTTAGGATGGAATTGATATTAAAATTATGAATTCATCCTGCTGCAGACTTTGACGTCATGGATTATTTGTTAATTTAATAAAAGCTAAAGATGTCACCAGAGACTAATGTTTCCGTCCTTCTATTTGATAATGTGTAGCTAAAAATATAATTGCAAGGCTTTTGTGGTTTTTTAATTGAAATATACTGTCACTAATTGCTTTTTTGTACGTAGTTTTTATATTTTCAAACTAAAGAATGTATAATCTTATTAATAAGGTTATTCGTAAATTATTTCTGGATTGTTCTTGCATCATTAAAAAAAATTTAGAAAACTAATTTATTACTATGGCTGAGAGATATTTTTCTTACCCTTTTAAATTTCTTTTTCTTTTTATATATTACAGACAAGTTTGATTTCAAAATCCACTACTATGAGAAAGATGAAACTTGGGGACAGAGAATAAAATGGGCTGCCCGGGACTTCTTGGATATCGATCACATCATTACCAACAGCACGGCTCACCAATTCTACTTCAAACCAGAGAGAGAGAACCCCCTCATTGATATGTGTGTGGGGCTGGCCTTGAAATTCCTGGTCCGGTGGTCAGATGAAACCATGCCCTGGAAAATGGAGGGTGCACGTGAGTTCACGGAGGAGGACTTTGACATGTGCAATAGCGTGGAGGTGGATTTGATGAAGTCTTACCATAGATCACGCACCTCGGTGAATCCATTATTTTCCCAGATTGAGAGTCTCCCTGACTTCCTAGAATCTCACAACTTGACATTGTTTGCTGACGTTACAGCTAAACTGTCTGACTACACTAAAGACATTCCACCCGAACCAGAAGTCCCAAGGAGTAAGCTGACACGTAGGGGGAGTGGCAGTAGCTACGGAGAAAGTAACCATGGTTCAGAACGTTACATCAAAAAGGAGCAGAAATACAGAGGAAGCACAAAGAAAGACTTAAAACGAGCAGGCAGTGCAATAGAGACGCGGAACGAGAGTGACGGAGACGATTTTACGTCGGGATTCGTTGAAGGTCTTTCAAGTGGCCCCAGGTCCTGTCCAGGCTCGTATGTGGGGATTGAGTCTTTGATCGACTAACGGGAACCATTTCTGATCCCAATCACTTTACACTGTATATACCATAAATCAGAGGACTAAATAGTTTTATAGACTATTTTTTGTAAGATAGATAATTATTTTGTGAATAATGTGATATACAAATTCCAGAGAATTCCAAAGAAATTGAACAGTCGGCACTTGGTCCATTATTATTTCATCATTATTTAAATGTGCTATGATTAGTCATTTATGTCAAGTGTGAACTTCATAGGTTGTTAATTCATACTCATCTTTCAATACTGTTTTTATTTACATAAATTTGTCATGTGTTTATGAATTATGTCAGTTATGCAGATTTGTATATTTTATTCTGATAGATATGAAGATATATAGAAAAAAAAAGATGTACTGACAATTTTGAATATTGTGTAATGTAATGTTAACTATATAATACTTGACTTATTCACAAATGTTAACAGTTGTAAAAGTCTATATCTGTTCAAATACTCAGGCATTAAGTGTTGTCAGTGCATTTTGTAAATTAGAATCCATTAGTTAGTGAGTTTATGAAAAAATAAAAGAATGAGTGGTTACTAGTATGTTCAGGGGTTATGGCCAAGTGAATTGTTTGCGAGTTGTACATAAATTCATATGTATACAATGTACATGTATTTTGTTTTTGTGTAATATTTTTCCATCTTGTATATTGTATTCCCGTCCTTTCAAAAGTTGAGCAATGAATGAAGCATTGTAAAGCATCAAAATCTTAGTATAGCTTAAAATTGTTGTAAAGAATTATAGTCACTGAATTATAATGAAAAAACCTTTTTCTTTAATTTTTTCTACTATAAACCTAAGTGCATTTAAGAATTTCGAATTTCGCAAAGGTAGTCTTGTCAGAAAATTCTTTTTGAAAATTGAGTGAAGCATCAAAATTAATGTGCGGTATTTTTATTTTTACAAGGAGACCCAATGATTCATCAGATTGTGGACAGTAATGTCAAATTTTTTTTTTTGCATAGGTCTCTTCAAGCAAAATCAACATGTCTGAATATTTAAGTTGTATTGTCTTAAAAAAAAAATAACTCCTATCAAACTGGAATTAGGAAGCTGCATTTTTTATGTGCAAAATTTTCTGAATTGACTTCCATTTAAATTTTAAATGTACATTAGGTGAAACATTAATTATCATAAATTGCATGTTACAACTCCTTACAAGTATTTCACAAGAGCTCATGCATACACAAATACCCTTTGCTGACAATTTGGTATCAAGTCTATGTTTTATTATCTCCTATCTTTGAGTATTTTACTTTGGAATTTGAAATGTTTCTATTATATCATCATTCATTTTTGTATTTTAAATCATGTATTTTTGCATTTTTCATGTTTATTCCTTTGATTTATTTGAGGGTTTTCCTGTCAAGCAATCTTTTTTTGGTGCCTACTTTATTAAATCTAAATATAACTTGCATAATTATAGTTCTCTATTTTGCAACATTCTTGAGACATTTGATTTTTACTGTTCAGTTGATAAATTGTAGCAAAGAGTAGAATTCTCTGAAAAAATTATTGAGCATTCATAAGCGTGACCGATTTCAAAACAATTAAAATTCTGACATTTTTAATGTTATGTTTGTTGAAATATTTTTGTGTTGTTCACACTTTCCCAGCGCTTTCTTACCACATTATAGTTTAGTTTTTGTACAGTTCTGTAGATGATGAGTATAGTACGTATATGTCCCTAAACTCGTGGAGATTTCCTCCATTGTTTAGTTTTAGCTAAATGTGACTGTGTTCAGTAGAGAAAGCTGTGTGTCATAGATAAGACACCTAATGTTTCATCCTTTTTGTTTTACACCAAGTTACAGCTCAATAAAATTATATAAAGTATAGCACCTCGTGTTCAATGTTTCCTATATAGTATATTTAAATTAAAATTTTACACACCATGGAGAACATTATTTCTTCATCTCCTCGTACTACGAAAACAACAACAAACAATAGGTACATTTGCCACTTTGCTCACTTAACCTAAGAGAGTGGGTTGAATTTTAAACAGGCAAAGAATGCTTCCATATCAAAATACTGGTAAAAATTTGATCCCCAATTGTGGCCTCTCCATACCAACTGGGTTCATGATTTATACAAATTTGAATCCACACAACCTGGGGCTGCTTCCATAACAATATGACTTAATGGGGCTTTGTTATTCTTGAGAAAAAGGTTATCCTATATATTCCTATGTAAACTTGTATTGAGTGGTCAATTGGTTTCTTGGTCCCCTCTCAAAAGTCTTCATTACACCTTGAAGAGAACCAACATATCAAGTTTCTGTGAAGATATTGAGTGTAGGTATTAATCTTCCTATAAAATAAGTAGCTTCACCAACCCTGTGACTTACAAATGTCTGTCAAAATAGAGGTTCTCATGCAAAATATTCCCTGGTAGATTCGACAGCACTTGGTATACATAAATCTTTTTCGATGCAGTATAAAAGGCTTAAAGGAATCACCTATGTGGCCAGGGTAAGCTGCCTTCAATGGGTCACTTAAGTTCACTGTTCATGTACATGTGCATCTTTTTGTTGGATTCTACTTGCATTTGCTATGCATGCAACAGTGCAATAAGAGGGGTAACTCTTGGAATATTTCTTACATATGAAAATGAGCAATTATTACAGTGGTCTCCCCTGAGAGAAAAAGATACACTGCAATGAACAATTGTTTCATTAAAAGTTTTATTGCAATAAATATAATAGGTATAATAATCAGCAGTGATGTCTAACTAATTCAACAATAAATAGTATACATACTGCATATATCAAACAAAAAAATCATAACACAGGCTCAGTGAATTAAACACATTAGCAATCAACAAGAGGTGACTAACTGTCCAATCTCTCAGTAAGGGATTGATCCTCTAGAATACCCTATTAAACCTACAACTCGCAAATTAAAAATTCTATAATGCTAATAAACAACTGCTCACTCTTTGCAGTAAACGTAACCAAACTGACAATATAATCACACAGCCAGACAAATTCTTCACTAATATTAAAGCCTTCCAATGCCCTTTCTCTGCAATTTTTATCTTTAGTCTGAAATTTAAGATGTTGAATCAGTGCATATTAAAATGTAACAAGAAAATCTTAATAACACAATTATATTATGCTATGGAAAAGCACCACAAATATTTCACAGATATGTATTGTAAACAAATGTGTTTGGCTGTTTGACTGTCTGTAGGTATTCACTAGATGTCTCAAAGGTTTTAAACACAAATTTTAAGGAAAAGTTTATAAAATGCATGACAGGAATCAAGGAGATTTTAAGGTAAATCATTCTGACAATACAGATGTTTGCATGAATACCTTTTTCCTCTTAAATGAGAGGTAAAACTTCTCCTCCATCCAGCTTCTCTAGCAAGATAATAAAATTAAACCAATTAAATAAACAGAGAATCAAATTACTCAGAATATATATTGTGCTTAGTCATTTTGTCATCAAACTACAATAGAGTACTTCATTACATAACACAAATGTAGGTAACCCCTACAGGAAAATGTTCATATTTATAGTACCCCGTCTCTTTTTATTAAAAAAAGGTACAAAAAATAAATTTCACATTGTCTGAAAATATTAAGTTTACACTGACTAGATTAAGGAGACAGTGCTGAACTGAAGAAGCATGTGGGCCACAGAGCTCACCTGAATCAACTCTCTCTGACAAATGACTACTGTAAATCTGGAAATTTTTACATCCATTTTATTTTGCGAATTCGGGTCAAAATGCTGTTGATTAATTTTTACGTTTCAAAATTTTGCAAATGACCACTGCTTTGTTTACATTTTCTTATTGGTAATTTATTTTTCAGAAAAATATTTTTGCGAAAGCAATGAAGTTGCAAATCTGCTAAAAATTTATCTACAGCAAAAATTTCCAGATTTGCAGTATATTACAGTAGATACATAAAAACGTTTTTTTTTTGCAGCAAGCAAAGCAAGTCCACAATTTTAACAATTTACATTTATGGCTAGTTAAATTGTCTAGATTAATTGTATTTGTGATATGGGTGTTGGAGATGTAAAAAGTTTAACTTTATCTTAAATTTTCTGGTAACATTTTATTTGTACAAATGTCAACAAAATGGTCACCTATACTGATAAGGAACATACATGTTCATTTTCCAATGGAATGCAATAAGCATGGAGTTTCTCAGAAACTTTTTCAGTTATACAACCAAATTACTGAAGTAAAGCATCTATTTATGTATATATATGACTGCTTGTACAAAAATCAGGCTGAAATAAATAAGGCCACAATTTTCTTTGTTTTATGTTCAAATACTGTAGATCACTAAATTTTCGCAACACCTTATTTTCGCGAGATAGTCAATGACTCTTTATTAGACATAATTTTCACGAATTGCTGTTTTTACTCTATATAATCATAAGGAATACTTTTAAACGAGAGAATGAAATTTTTGCGAGCTCATTGTCTCGCGTATTTACGCGAAAATAAAGTTCTCGCGAATGAAACGTGATTTACAGTAGGGCTTGCTTTATGAATTTAGAATAAAAAAAAATCACAAAATAATAATGGCCTGAAAGATTCGATTTTTGAGTTATCCAAAACAGTAACTATACCTAGCATTATCAAAAAAAAAATAATAATAATAAAGAACATCCTATTATTAAAACTGTAAGATAACTTATAAAAGTTTGAATTCTTAAAGCAAAGAAAAATAATTAAGTGCATGAAATTGCATAGTAATGCCATAAATTTAAAAAAGTAAATACATGTCTTGTATATTCTAAACATGTGATAATTTGACAAAAGTAAACTCCCTTGCAAATGATCACAACTTTAACAATTCAAAAACATAAATAATAAAAATACACAACACCAAGAAGAATATAGGCCTTGAAAAAAATATTTTTTGATGTGATAATCATATCACCCATTGTAAGTCTGGGGGTGTGTGTCACAACAATTGTCCAAGAATGCAACATAATGCAAATTTTGTCCCCAGTAATAACCTAATGTTTGTCAAATTGGAGTTGTTAAGTAAGTACATGCCCATATCCTTAACAAAATAACACTCCTTATTTTGTCTGTGACCAATTACAGTCTACTTAGCAGGAGACATTTGGCCCATGTAACCATTTTCTGGTATACAGCATTACAGTCAACTTCCTTTATTGGTTTCTTAAATTTGTTTTCTATACATGTACCATTTAACATGTTTAATGTACTAAATTACTGTACTTATTAAGAGAATATTTAAATAAATCTATAAATCTTGTGTTGTCAAAAAAAGTAGATTACAACTGCATAGGTGCAAGAATCTGAACTCTCAGCTCTGAGCAAAAGAAGCCATATTCTTATTTGGAAAAAAAAATCCATAAAGAGATACATGTACATCAGTTTTACACTTCACAGGCATTGCCTTTTATTAAAATGGAATATTGTTTAACTGGACATGTAAATGTAAACAGAATCTGTACTAAAAATTAAACTGCTTTAAAAAGGGAAGAAATTCATATACGGTAATCTGTAAACTGTGACCAAATAGCAAAAATGACTTCTAATGGAATGTTTTCAACATCGCAAAAAAGTGTTTTAATAACTTAAAGTTTTAATTAACTATAAAGTACATGTGTATATTGTTGAACTAAATATTTTGGAAAGTACTAAGGACAAAATTCTACAGTATAATCTTACAGTGATCTACACTTTCTAGATTTTCAAGTCTATATTCTTTTCAATTGTATCACGGAATATCTAAATTAAGAAATGATATGAAAACCATTATATAGAATATGTATATAAAATCAAACACTATTAAAAAAAACTATAATAATTAACACACAGAAAAATACATATACATGTATATACACATAATTGTACATAGTACAAAAGATGCGAAATTCAAAGAGATATAATAAATGTGATTGCCGACAACAATATATACATGTATTACACTGTACAAAAATTTTACTAGCACTTTTTAAATCATATTTTATTGTTATATTAAGGAAAAAATTTAATTCATAAAAGGGAAAAAAACATATGACATTCAAATGTCTTACTCTTTAATAGTTTTGATAATTTTCAGATACCGGTAAAATAAGTTTCTTAACTGGTTTTTATATTAATATATCAGTCTGAAATGTTGTAATATGTAAGTTATGAAATTCTTCCAAAATGTTTGAAGATAAAAAAAAACTTCAGATTTTGTGTCATTGTCCTTTTAGTCATTATTAGCCAGCTAAATACCATATTCAGTATTCTATACAATTTGTATGACTGCATGAAAAAAAAACAACTCAGAATTAAATTCAAAAATTCAATCCCAGTATCAAATCAAAAATCTGAACACTAAATGTATCATCTAATCTAACATCCTTACCAAAGTGCATGTCAAACTTCTAAACATTTACTCCAGCATCTAACATATCAAATCTACTCTGAGTATCAAATCTAAGACCTGGACCCTACCTTGAGTATCTTATGATATAAATAATGGCTAAGTATCAGACACGTGTCAGCTGCTGTTGTTCCTGTCTCTGCTTCACTTTCTTATAACAGGCAGAACAGTAATCATTTTGTTCTGGGCTTCCATAAAAACCACAGCCAGAGGTCTTGCATGGTTTAGCAGCTTTGGGTTGACCTACAGGTTTGACAATATCAGAGGCAGGTCGTCTGTTGGGCTGGGGAGAGGAGGGGGTGAGATTGGTCACAGTGACTGGAATCTCCCGAAGCCTGAAGGAATAGTCAACATTGTCGTAATCTGGTGACGGCGTGCGGGCTCTGATCGGGTTTGACAAGGAGCGGATATCCCTCGTATCTGTCTCAGGAGCCGTTTTTGTCGTGTTGCCGTGGGAGAACGACTGAGGGCGCGGCCTGACCTCAGCCTGAGTTCTCTCCGGTGGAAGATTGACCTTTTGGGGAGCCATGTGGACGGGATTAGAAGTTGAGGTATTTATTTTATTGGCTTTAGGCTTAGGATCTTCCTCCTCTGTCGGTAAATAAAATTTTGATTTCCCGTAACTTTCCACACCATCCGACTTGCCCTTTAAATGACCTCCACCTTTGTACTTTTCCTGCATTTCAGCTTCCTGCTTGTGGTCATTAAAGCACTTGGAACACATGTAGTGAGTCTCAGAGTTACCATACATCTTACAGCCAGGAGTTATACATTCGTTGTTTCTATCCATCTCCATGGATCGCCTCCGTATCTCCTCACCTCTTGCCTGCATCTTCTGTCTGTCCTGCTGGAATTGATGCCGAGCATCCAGCATGTAATTTTTTATCATTTCCTTGTGTACGTCGGTCTGCTTTGTGGAGACCTTGGCACAGAGAACCAGTGACTGCTCCTGCTCAGCCATGGCTGCTATAGTCAAGGGTACACGTGTACTCTGTGTTAAGCCACTACCCACTGATCCTTTTTTACTCAATTTCTGCTCTGGTCCCATGCTCTTCAAGGCTTTTCCTACACTGCCAAAGTTCTTTTTAATCTTTTTGTTGATACTTTTCCCCAAACTCCCAAACTGCTTGGTGACTCCTTGCTGTGAGCCCTGTTTATCTTTTTTCTTGGTATTGTCATCAGATTCATAGGAGCCTCCACTCCTTCTGTCACAGTCACTATCGTACTCCAAATGAGTGGCTGGAAGACGCTCTATTTGTAGGTAAGATTTCAGTAAGTTTATCTTGTCCTCCTCACTGTACACCATTTTGCTGTGAGATTCTGGTGCACTGATTTTGGTTTCCCAGTTATATGAAGGCCCGGGGTCCACTAGGAAATGTACAGGGAGTATCTTCAATGAGGGATCAACCAATGGGATTGCAGCTGAAATAAAGATCATAAAGTCAGGTCATCTAATTCACACTGGACTAAGTTCTGAATAAAACTTTTTTTCTTATATAAAAGGATGCTTGCATAGACTGTAAAGCTGACAGATTAAACCATTGTTGCCAATACAGCTGTTCATTTCTAAAGAATTTTCAACAGTCACTAGAAAATAGATAAAGGTTAGTTAAAAAAATCACACACTAAATGGAGTCATTGCAGAGTTAAATGATGAAAATGAAGTAACATGTCACCAGAATAAACAAACAACTTCAAAACTCACTTGGAAGACTGTCTTTTTCATCTGTTTCCATAGGAACTAATGCTGAGAAATGTGCTGCATCATAAGTCAGCAACAGAGGAGACTGGTAACAGCTCTTTGGATCACATTCAAGGGGGAGATAAATCCCTGTAACATTGGATGGATACTTTTCATACATACAGATCCTATAAATTTAATTCCTTAAAACAGTTTCTACCAAAAAAAAAAAATAAATAAAAATAAAGTAACAATCTATAAACAGTTTATATACTGAAGAGTGGTGTCTGTATTTAATACATCTTTTTCTACACTGTACCTCCAAATGGTATGGGGGCTAAAGCCTCCCCCATGGAGTCCTTTAGTATTGTATCAGCCACGATGACTATTGTACGCTGTAAGATGTGAGAGAGCACAAACACATGGAACTCCTCCAAGCTCTCGTAAATCACAGGTGAATTCTCATCACTGGAAAGGAAAGATATTATAAGACAAAGCATTAATTAAAACCCTGCTGGTTCACATCACAAAAGGCATTTTGATCTGTGGGGTAGGTAAGACATGAAACATTTTTAAATCTCAAAGTAAAATAAGAAATCCTTAAAGGTCATATACTGTAGCCAGATCAAGAAGTGTATGATAAAATTTAATCAAGTTTTTGCCAAGAAATATACTAATTAAATGACCCAAGACATAATATTTGTAAATTCAAATTCTGAAGTCCATTTACAATTGGTACATTGTACGTGAACAAGAGATGTTTGTAAAACACTTATGCCCCCCTCCCCCACAAATTGGAATTTTTCTAAGTTGAAAAGGGCATAACTCTGTCAACCAGAAGTCTCTGTCGAGACTGAAGCTCTACTGGTTTGTACTTATAGCAAAGGAAGAGAAAAGTACTTAAGCAGTTAGAAATTGAAACTTTTCAACAGCAATAAATAGAATAATGATCCTTGATTAAGTCTCTTTATGTTCTTAGTGTAGTCTACTTGCATGCCACATTATATTATAACCAGACTAAAACTGTTATTTGGAGTAGCATTTTGAGAGTATTTAACAGAAATTTCTATTTTTAGTAACCACGGCAACACCGTTCATCGAAATCAAAAACCGATACACAGAATTATGTATCTTAGTGTAGTCTACTTGTGTGCCAAGTTATATTGAAATCAGACCAAAACTGTAGGAGGAGTAGCATTTTGAAAGAATTTCACAGAAATTTCTATGTTTAGTAACCACGGCAACACCGTTCATCGAAATCAAAAACCGATATACAGAATTATGTATTTTAGTGTAGTCTACTTGTGTGCCAAGTTATATTGAAATCAGAACAAAACTGTAGGAGGAGTAGCATTTTGAAAGAATTTCACAGAAATTTCTATTTTTAGTAACCACGGCAACACCGTTCATCGAAATCAAAAACCGATACACAGAATTATGTATCTTAGTGTAGTCTACTTGTGTGCCAAGTTATATTGAAATCAAACCAAAACTGTAGGAGGAGTAGCATTTTGAAAGAATTTCACAGAAATTTCTATTTTTAGTAACCACGGCAACACCGTTCATCGAAATCAAAAACCGATACACAGAATTATGTATCTTAGTGTAGTCTACTTGTGTGCCAAGTTATATTGAAATCAGACCAAAACTGTTGGAGGAGTAGCATTTTGAGAGTATTTAACAGAAATTTCTATTTTTAGTAACCACGGCAACACCATTCGTCGAAATCAAAAACCGATACACAGAATTATGTATCTTAGTGTAGTCTACTTGTGTGCCAAGTTATATTGAAATCAGACCAAAACTGTAGGAGGAGTAGCATTTTGAAAGAATTTCACAGAAATTTCTATTTTTAGTAACCACGGCAACACCGTTCATCGAAATCAAAAACCGATATACAGAATTATGTATCTTAGTGTAGTCTACTTGTGTGCCAAGTTATATTGAAATCAGACCAAAACTGTAGGAGGAGTAGCATTTTGAAAGAATTTCACAGAAATTTCTATTTTTAGTAACCACGGCAACACCGTTCATCGAAATCAAAAACCGATACACAGAATTATGTATCTTAGTGTAGTCTACTTGTGTGCCAAGTTATATTGAAATCAGACCAAAACTGTAGGAGGAGTAGCATTTTGAAAAATTGTTTACAGACAGACAGACGGACAGACAGACGGACGGACGACGGACGCATTACCATCGCATAAGCTCTTCTGGTCTCTGACCAGTAGAGCTAAAAATGGTTGATCATACCCAAAACAGAACTTGATCTAGATATTCATCTGACTAATTTGTATATTAAATTCCATTTCAATATGTGCAACCTCTCAAAAGAAAATGATCGGAAACTGCAAATAACTGGAATTTTTCTAAGTCCAAGGGGCATAACTCTTTTAATTATGGTGCGATTGTACCCAAAACAGAACTTGACCTAGATATTCATCTGACTAATTTGTATATTAAATTCCATTTCAAAATGTGCAACCTCTCCAAAGAAAATGAACAGAAACTGCAAATAATTGGATTTTTTCCAAGTCCAAGGGACATAACTCTGTCAATTATGGTGCCATCGTATCCAAAACAGAACTTGACCTCGATATTCATCTGATATACCTGTATACCAAATTTCATTTCCGTATGTGCAACCGTTATGAAAAAAATGAATGGAAACTAAATGGACCGACAGACAGCAGCAAAGCAGTATGCCCTCCCTTCTTCGAAGGAGGGCATAAATAATGCATTGTTTCATAAATAACATGTAAATTGAATATTTCTATACAAGACATTTCATTTGTATACTTCAGTTTCTAAATATTTAGAATATGTCTGACAGGTTTCAGAACCTGAAACCTGGATGTAACGTACTCGCTAGAGTTAGTTATGGGGCTGTCACAACAGCTGCTATTCCTCCGAATTCCCGGTAACAGCCGAGGTTTTGTGGACGCCAACTTCAGTACACTATTCCACTCTGTCTGCCACTCTTCCTCCGAGAATATCAGACCAGCCTACAAAATACCAAAAAGTGAAAATTTTAGTGAGAGGTGAAAATCAGTACTGATATATATATTTAGTAAGAAGTAATTTTTAGCAATTTTATAATGACAAGGGAAATAGAAATAACAACCGATATGGAATAAATTGTTAGCGATACTCAATTTTAGCATTCTTAGAACCAATGCTAATAATGCCAAAATAGAATCCTCACAAAAAATTCTGCGTATATGGTGATAAATTTTGTCTATATCTGTTACCAATTAGACTACAAAATATTGCACATTAATTAGTCTAAAATCATTAGCTGAAAAGTAAATAATGTAAGTTATTTAATCACACAATCCTGACCCTTTGTCTTTATTATCAGAGCCTAGATCGGAGCCTAGATCCAGAAAGTCTCTTTACTTTCCCACATTCAGCTGGAGTTTTAATATGATGCTGTTAGTTTGAATAAGGCCTAGTAAAAAAATACATGTATGTTTGTTTCCGCTTTCGGGCTGAAAAAATATAGGGTAGGTAGGTAGGCAATTTTTTTAAATTTTTTTATTTTTTTTTTGCTTCTTTAATCAAAACGTGTATAGTAGTAACATTAATGAATAATGACAAAAGAAATGGTGTTTTCAAGCATTTCTGTGAGTTAAAACTTGTAATAGAAAGGTGATCCAAACTTCTTTCTGTCTTGAAAAGCTTGCAGAGTTGGAGACTATAATTCCCTGGAAGAAATCTTGCACATCATGGGCCAAAAGCATTAAAAAAATATTCAGGGTCGGCACTATAAATTAGGGTCGGTCGGAAAGCGGAAACAAACATATTTTTTTTCTAGGCCTAAGTAATTTTGTTACAGATTAAATAACAAGAGGCCCAGGGGCCACAGCGCTCACCTGAGCACATCGGCTAGATAAAAAGCACATATCAGATCAGAACTGAAAGTTTACGGGGGGGGGGGGGGGGGGGGGGGGCTTGAATTTTAACCCCCAGGGGGTCATGATTTGAACAAATTAGAATCTACACTACCTGAAGATGATTCAATTTCAATAGAAAAAAATCACTAATCATGGCTTTGAAGTAACTGAAAAGATTTTATAAGGTTTCCCTATATATCCCTATGTAAAATTTTGGTCGGCCATTTTGGCCCCATCCTAGCCCCAAGGGGTCTTGATTTGAACAAACTTGAATCTACACTACCTGAGGATGATTCCACATGAATTTCATCTTTCCTGGCCCAGTGGTTCTTGAGAAGAAGATTTTTAAAGATTTTTCCTATATATTCCTATGTAAAACTTTGGTCGGCCATTTTGGCCCCACCCTAGCCCAAGGGGTCATGATTTGAACAAACTTGAATCTAAACTACCTGAGGATAATTCCACATGAGTTTCATCTTTCCTGGCCCAGTGGTTCTTGAGGAGAAAATTTTTAAAGATTTGTTCTATATATTTCTATGTAAAACTTTGGTCGGCCATTTTGGCCCCACCCTATCCCCGGGGGTCATGATTTGAACAAACTTGAATCTACACTATCTGAGAATGATTCCACATGAGCTTCATCTTTCCTGGCCCAGTGGTTCTTGAGAAGAAGATTTTTAAAGATTTTTCCTATATATTCCTATGTAAAACTTTGGTCGGCCATTTTGGCCCCACCCTAGCCCCAAGGGGTCATGATTTGAACAAACTTGAATCTACACTACCTGAGGATGATTCCACATGAGTTTCATCTTTCCTGGCCCAGTGGTTCTTGAGAAGAAGATTTTTAAAGATTTTTCCTATATATTCCTATGTAAAACTTTGGTCGGCCATTTTGGCCCCACCCTAGCCCCAGGGGTCATGATTTGAACAAACTTGAATCTACACTACCTGAGGATGATTCCATATGAGTTTCATCTTTCCTGGCCCAGTTGTTCTTGAGAAGAAGATTTTTTTAAAATGCCATTAATTTTTCTCTAATTCATAATTATCTCCCTTTTGAAAAGGGCGAAGCCCTTCATTTGAACAAACTTGAATCCCCTTCACCCAAGGATACTTTGTAGCAAGATTGGTTGAAATTGACCCAGTGGTTCTTGAGAAGAAGATGAAAATGTGAAAAGTTTACGACAACGACAACGACTACGACGACAACGACGACGACAACAACGACAGACAACGGACAAATTTTGATCAGAAAAGCTCACTTGAGCCTTCGGCTCAGGTGAGCTAAAAATTGAAGAGAAATTCCATAGTTTCAATCTCTTATTTTTTTTGAAAATGCACTAATACAACTTTAAATTTCAAATATACTTTGAATTCCATCCCCTTTTAACAGAGGGCTAATTGTATTTGGCGCGTTGGCGTGCCAGCGCGTCCATCTCATCCCAATATCACAAAAGTATTTTCTCCCTGCATTAAAACACTCAAAAGACAGCGATTTTCTTTATAATTTAAACGTTATCGCTTATATTCAAGTTGACATCCCGAGCCCAACTGTATTTCCTTGTTAGGTGGATCCAGAAAAAAAATCCCTAGGAGGTGATGGCTCAAATCGCAAGGGAAAGAGGTCCGAGGCATAGCTTTAGTGATTTTACTATTTCAGTTTAAATAAATTTGAATTTTCAAGGAATCCGGATCTCCTTTGATCCATGCATGCCTTACCACAATTTGTGCAAATCCGATTTTTACCCTAATTTTCGAATTGGCCTACGGTACTTTCGATTTCTCTCTCTCTCTCTCTCTCTCTCTCTCTCTCTCGTATATATATCTTCAAATTTTAACTATATATAGCATTTAAGGTGTTTCGCTTCTGACGAAATTGAATTCACCGCGCAACTCGAACTGCCGGAAATTGGTCTGAATGTCGTTATAATAAAGAATTCAATACGGCAGAGAATTAATAGTTTCTACAAATAATTATAATCATCATCCATAGAAAGTAACATAATGACGATTTTTTATGCCAGAAAACAAACATATAATAAGCATTTTACATTTCGCGGATGTGAACCGGATTACGATAATGTAAACAAAAAGCAGACGAGAAGTCAAGGTCTGCGCGGTAACTTTGGTTGAGATGGTGAAACCAAAGTACAGACGCCATGGGTTCGTCTCGAAAAAGCAGAAGGAGAGATATGATAAAGTATCTGCAGGGCAATTGACTCGATGGATTAGGGGAGCTATCCTTACAGACCACAGTTACTCCGCCAGTGCAACCCCTGTCAGCGTTGATCACGATCACGGTTTGTACATGTAAAATACGTAATCCAAAAGACTCGTTTTCATATCTGCATCTAAATTACCATGATTACACATAGGTCTATTAGAAATATTAGATATATTAAAGGGAGGTACATGAATTTGTTGATGTTCATTTTATATACCAGGTCCAATCTAAAGACTTTTTGAACTATGACTACGTGTAGCTATTAAAAAAAAATTATAATAGTTAAAGATGTGCACCAAAAGAGAAGATATTGAATTTTTCTCAATATTTCATTGAAAAACAACATGACATAACTAAGACATTGAAAACTTGTTTTTATCAAGTATATAATTGAATTTTCAAAGATATATTTTGATAAAAACAAGTTTTCATCTGATTGACAACAAAGTTTTAAAAATATAATTTTTTTTTTTGGGGGGGGGGGGGGGTATTTTATTGAAAACCACATGGCCTATTGTAATCAAAGTGCAACATGGAAATTTGAATCATATTTGATAATAATAAATTTAACTATACATGATGTTATATGTGGATTTCAATAATATATATATATATATACTAGGCCTAGCTGTTACAAAAAAAAAATTACATTTGCTGATGTCTTACCTTACATGACAATACTAATCAAAGATAATTGCTGTATTTTATTTTAATACACTGCACGTGATGAAAGATATACTCATTTGACCCACAGGCCTTTAGATCACTTAGAAAAAAAATTGAGGTGTTAAAAAAAAAATAAAGGTATGGAACTCTTTTCATAGGGTACCTACTTTCACCAATAAAACTCTTTTAAATTGAATGCTTTACAAATTTACTTTTTATCCATATCTATCCATATATAAACAATCTTCATTCCTTCAAATTTCATTCCGTAATTCCTTATACTTCTTAAGATATTATGAAATCAATACCGAAATTGACCTAAATTTTTTTAATTGACATCAGCTTGCCAATGGGCCCAACACTATTTGTTAAGCGGGAACGACAGGACAAATTTTCTCCAAAGTCTATTCTAAACTCAATGAATATTTGCTCATTTGAATTTGAGATTTACATGATTTTTCTTTAATTGGATCATATGATCTTACTAAGTCACAAACAAAATGTTAGCGGTCTAATTGTTTTGAAAATAGAAAGGTATATAATCATGATAATGCATTACGGGAAAAAATTGTTCAACCATATAGCTTCTTTTACATTCATAATCAAAATGGCGGTGTAGTTGTTGATGCAGATTTTAACTTATTAATACAGACTACTTAACCTTACAATCTGGAGTAAGAAATCAACTTTAAAATGTTGAAAGATCTTGCAAATGCTATGCAACTCTTCGCTGCACCTCATACACCGTCTGTTTACATGTGAATGACCAGGGGCCCAAGCAAATAGGAGATCATATTTTAGATTGATTTCAGAATATCTTGAGAAATATCGGTATATGGAAAAATATGTTGTATATCGGCACTATGAATTATTTTGAAAACTGGTTCTTGGAATTTAGTAAGTGTATCTAAACAGTCAACTAGTCAGGATGTGTTACAGTAGATAATAAAGAATGTGTAATGGTGATAATTTTTATTCATTATTCATAGAATTGCCAAATTTGAATATACTGGAAAGAGAGGAGGTGGTGGATGGGGAAGAAGTGACTACATCTGAGGATTGGAAGGAGGGGAGGAGAGTAGTAGAACTTGGAGTGTTAGCTGAGGGCTTGCGGGGATGTTGTAAATGTGGCTTACCATTACAACTTTCACACACTATTTCTGTGTTGACATATGGTTTAGCTTCTTTGTTAAAGGTATGAACTCACCAATTTTTGCACAGTTTGTATAAAAACAACCTTGAAAGGTTTTTCCTTGAATTTTTCTCCATATAAAACAGGCAGTATTCCATATATCCATATTTTTAGTTTTGAAAGATGTTACATTTTTTTCTTTGAAGTAATTTGAAGTAATGCATATTTAAATTCTTTTTTCCCAAGCATTTGATTTCATTAATGGTGAATGAATTTAGAACAGTGACCTGTAATTAGGGATTCATTGATTTTACATTAACATTTCAGGTCTGTTGCAGCAATACAAAGTGTAATCATATTAACCATGTAAAAACGGGGAAAAAACATGGAAGAGTGTGGGATGTAAATACAAAGCTATCAGCAGGTAAGAAGTTTAACGTACACATCCCCTACATAAGTTACATGTATATTTATTATTGTCAAGTCACAAGAGCCTGATTGAGTTTTACCTGTCTATTCCAATATAAGCAAGTTTGTTGTCCCCCTCAACAGCAACTTGGATGCACCTTGAGAAATTGTTGCTGTCTTGGGGGACAATAAACTTGCTTTTGTCCTCATAGCCAGTAAATAGGTATATGTATCTATAAATTGATATAATCAGTGGCGGATTTAAGGGGGGGCGCACCCCCCCTGAAATTGTCAAAGTTAGCATAAAACATAGTTTTGTCGAGGAAATGTTTCTGATGTCTACTCGGTAGACCTCATTTTTACCCTACAAAACCTCTAGAATCCAAGAGCTTCGGGGGGCTTCGCCCCCTTGGCCCCCACCAGGGCTTTGCCTCAAGGCGGCCCCCAGACCCCCTGCCTGAATCTGGCGCCCAACCCGCCAGGGTTCGACACTAACATTTTTCTGCGTTGGTCTAGCCGGACTAGTGCATCTTTAATTTTATTAGTCCACAGGCAATTTTATGAGTCCGTCAAAAATATAATTAAACAATAGAATTTACATTTCAAGGTACTTTTTATACTTTTTTTTTAATAAACAAAGCATGCGTTTACATGAAATGTTTTATACCAATATTTGTTGAAATTGCCTGATCAGGAACTAGGATCGTGTTCCCGATCTCATTATTCTCTATAAATGATTACGACATCCAAATGCCCGACATCTTTCTTTATGAGTCTTAATAAATCATAATCCCTAAAATGTTTAATTTCATTCCAATGAGTCCTAAAATTAAGTGCCGAATTGACTCAGAATTACATAACTTTCCGCCAAGATGCAAGAAAGCTAAAAATACATACGGGTTTTCCAGTGAAAGTTGTCGAGAACTTCGGTAATTTTTTCCCCCAGAAAACTTTATTAGTCCATTCGGACTAATACGCCACAACTTTTATTAGTCCAAATGAAAATGTATTAGTCTGAGACTTATTAGTCTGAGACTAACGGACTAACGTTAATGTCGAACCCTGCCCGTCTAACTTCAATTCCTGGATCCGCCCCTGATAATGTTTAATTCAGAATAAAAACTTGATGAGAAGGCAAGCTATTTTTAACTTATTGAAGCCAGAGGCTCATTTCAGCTTTCTGATCTTTTTCCATTTATCTGTCTGTCAACTTTTCAAAATATGCTTTAAAGGAGAGGGAAGTGGGTACTGGTATACTGTTTTACTCTTGTGTTTTACCACACAGTCACACCTTGTTTTGGCAATATGCCATATGATGGAATTCACTTTTATAGAAATCCAATGTCTGCTTCCTATTTATCCATGTGTCTGCCTACAGGTATATTCACAAAAGAACCTATATTCACATCATAGAAAGGGTATAACAAGTTAGAATGGGACTTTTTTTGATTTGTTCTCTAAACCACTTGACTATTCAGATGGAAAAAATTCTCTGTAGAACAGCAAAGCCTTATTACTGTATTAATCATATTGATATTGAATCATCCTAATGTAGATCAATTCAAGTTTTGTTGCCATTACCCCTAGGGGTTTAGTTTGTTAAAAGTATGGGTTCTATTTTTAATTTCTGGTAATAAAGAGAGAAAATAAATGAGACTAAGGTGAGTGTTGTATTTCACAAGCTTCTTGTTTAAAGTGATTAGATTGATTTCTTTTTTACATTTATGAATTTGTATTTACAGCAATTGTACATGTTGGTATTGGTGCAACGCAAGTCAACAGTCTCCTTTCTGAGCTGAATATACCACCTGTAAGCCATGCCATGCTGGACAAAAGACAGAAAGAGATAGGCAGAGCTGTTGAAGATATTGCTGCAGAGTCTATGTCTGATGCTTTGCAGAAGGAACTGGAAATGATGAATGAGTGTGTAAACAATATAAATTCAGTTTAAATCTCACTATTTAGCTCAAATGAGCCAAAGGCGCAATAGAGCTTTTCTGATCAGATCAATGGGTGTCCAGCATACATGTGTAGTGGTCATATGGTATAACCTGTGTTGGTTAAGTCACAATTACTAACATGTATGTCACAAACATAACAACCCATTTAATTTTACATATAAGATACATGTATGTACTAATTGCATGCATTTTTGAAGGAAAAATTGTCTTATTTTCTTTACTTATTGATGGAGAATTAAATTATAAGGAATTAACTTCATAGTTATCCAAGTTATAATAGTGTAACCTGCTTTGAAATGAAAGCCTCGCTGTATAGAAAGCCAAAACCGGCACAACCCAGGATATACAGTATAACTTGGGTAGCTATTAAATTCATTCCTAGAATGAATTAAAAAAGGAAAATTTGATTGAAGAAAAAAAATTGAAGAGTGACAGAGACACAGTCTAATCAAAATTAGATGTTAGATCTGCTCGCATAATTGCTACACTAGCATCTAACAACATCCTATAGAGGGTCACTCAGAGTTCAAATTCGGAACAACCCTAGACTTATTTTCTTCAATTACGTCAACAAATAAACAATGATTTTGCAAGAGACAATTTGATTGGTTGATTAGAATTTGACCTCTGACGTGACCCTCAATGAGATGTTGTTAGATGTTTGTGTAGCGAGTATGCAAGTGGATCTAACAAATAATTTTAATTAGATTGGACAGAGACAGTGACTTCCTAGAGTATTGTGGCCCAAGCCCCAAGAGCCTCGTGTTTTAGTTTTGATCCCCAAATGAAAATCATAGGGAATACCTAATAATAATTGATAGTGATCAAGTTAATAGAATCTGATATACTGATAAATATAAGGTTTAGTCATGTACAGTATAATTTGTGTTGATAAATATGCAGAATGTTATGCACATTAGGGGGTGTTCTAAAGGAGACAGGTTCACAGTTAATAACTGATGTCTGTTATTTAACTATTTTTCAGAGAGATGAACGAAAATGGACTAGTTGTTGCTGTAGATGCTGGATGGCAAAAACGGGGTAGCGGAAAGACATATGATAGTTTATCAGGTAAAAATACTGTAAAAGCACAAATATTCGGGGGGATTAAATTTTGTTTATTCCGTTAACAAAATTCAACAAAATTAAATCCCACACGAAATTTTATATGACTATATATTGAATAGGGCTTTAAAAAAAATATGTTTGTTTCCTGTAACATTCCAAAAAAATTAAGGGTCGGTAGGTCGGGATTTTTTTTTTCTTATGAATTGTCAAACATCCCTGGACTCAATATACCAGGTGTCATATTTACAGTGGACACCCAACATGGCATCCAAAATGGCTGCCTAGCGGCAGAAAACGATCTTCAGAAAGTTGTAGGGGGAAATTGTTGTTATAATAATGATTACTCTTTATAACTAATCAAACTTAAATGTAAACTAGGTTGACATATTTTATGTCTCAAGTTAAGCTACAAGCTAATTTTCTTTTTTTAATAAATGGAATCAGCTGATTGATCAAACGAAGTTTTGCCATTTGTCAGAAAAAAAATTCACCCGGGGGGTAATTTGAATGGGTCGGTCGGGTTACAGGAAACAAACATATTTTTTTTAGACCTAGGGTTAGTTTTAAAACAACGACGAGATTATTTTTGATGTCAAAACAACAAAATTTTATGCCCACGAAAATTTATGCTTCTACAGTAGACAAATTTTAGGAAAATAAAAAAAAATATTGATGATTAGAGTGATTACTTTCCGCTTGTGCCCAACATAAACTATGCATTAAGTTTGCTTAGGACTTGATTCCATTAAATATGTATGCAAACAGATGCAATAAATTTAGAAAGACACATATCTCAAAGTTCAACTGTCCATATAAATTGTAAAATATTCTTCTAAAGAACAGCCATGAATAGTTATGTTGCTCATGCAGGTAAAGCATATTCAGTTTTGTTCGAAATATGGACCCAAGGTGGGATAATGGAGCCAAAAAAGGATATAATGTTTACACGGGAATATATATAGGAGAAAAATCATTAAGAGTCATAATGAGTCAAATCAAAATATTAAAATATTAGGTGATTTTACACAGTTAGCGTATTCGCTAATCGCTCTATGGCACGCAACCAATTTTTAACGACACTTATTAGAAACATTATTTACCAAAGCATTGTCAATACTTAGAACACTAACTTCAAAGAAGTAGGAATTTGGTCCCTATTGCATCCTGCAAACACGTTTTATAGCAACTGTTTACTTTTTTAAAGTTGAACGATTTGCATTAATTATACAGCACCCCTCATGAAAAATAAATATTTGACCTAATTATGCTATAGTGCACTGGACGCACAGGTTCATTGCTGACTAAAGGGGTTAAAGGTTATTACCAAATGCATACATGTAACATCAGTGATCGAGTTTGATTTTCCTTGCCAAAGTATTAAGACATACATTTTATTAAGTTAAGAAATGCATGAAAAATGCTTTAATAAAAACAACGAATACATCTATAAGTTATACAGTTTTTCTAATTTGTAATTTTTCAGGTCATTGTTCCATGGTTGGTCCTCTCTCCGACAAAGTATTGTCATACTCTCTGAGGTCTAAGAATTGCAGAGTATGCAGTGTAGCTGAATCAACCAACAAGAATCCAGCAGCCCATGAGTGCTCAAAGAATTGGGAGGGTAGTTCAAAGGCCATGGAGGCAGATATGGTTATTGAGATGGTCCAAGATCTACAGAAAAGTAAAGGAATAACCATTGATGGAATCATTGGAGATGAGGACTCTACCACTATTGCAAGACTGAAAGCTAATGTCAATGCTGATATTAAGAAGTTGTCTGATAAAAATCATCTAAAGAAACTGTTTACAAACTCTTTGTTTACCTTGAAGAAAAAACATTCATCTCTAACTTTGTCTGTGATAAAGTACATTCAGAAATGCTTCAGTTACTCCATAGCACAGGGAAAAGGAAATGCTTCTCAAATCAAAGAAGACCTTTCATCAATTCCATTACACATATTTGGAGATCACCAACACTGCTCCTCAAGGTGGTGCAACTTCATTAACAACCCTAACCTGAGGTACAAGTCACTTCCACATGGAAAACCCCTGAAAGATAGGTTCCTTCAGGATGATCTGAAAGAAGTCTTCAGTTCATATGCAAGTCATTCTGATCGTCTTTCATGCTTAGGAAGCACACAGTCGAATGAGAGTTTTCACAGAATGGTGTCTGCAAAAGCCCCAAAGACCCATCATTACAGCTCTTCTTCAAGCCTCAGATATAGAGTTGCTGCATGTGTAGCCCAGAAAAATGTTGGACACAGATATCTTGTAAAGGTTTGTAAATTTTTATTTTTTCATGCTTATTGTGTCATATCTGAGTTGAACCACTCAAGTTATCTCTTACATTTGAAAATTCTGCAAATTTTAATCAAAAGCAGATTGTATTGTATATGTATGTACATTGTAGTTGTACATAATAGATTCTTTTATCCTTATTAAAGGTTAACAAGAAATTGGGCCTCTCTCCTGGCTACTATACTCGACGACAGTGCATTCTGAGGGATTTACAAAGAAAGCGACAGAAGGCCATTTCAGTGACACAGAAATTTAAAAGGAGAAGGAGAGAATTGAAAGCCAGGAAGTACGTACTAGTATACTTTGATTGTCATTTGTCAGGTGTAAAAAACCTTTTGTCAACCTCAAAAATGAAAATAAACCAAGAACAAGTGAATGATGATAAGTATGAATTTAAGTGGGAATTAATATCTTGCATGTTACTAAGATTTGTTTTCTGAATCACCAAAGATTTACGGTATGCTTGTTATAAATAGCATGGTTTGATAAATATTTTTTTCAAAGAAGGGAGGGCATATTGCTTTGCTGCAATCTTAAAATAAAAATTTTACCTACCTACATACCCAGTTTTTTAGCTCACCTTAGCGGAAAGCTCAAGTGAGCTTTACTGATAAAAATGTATCTGTTGTCATTAACTTTTCACATTTTCATCTTCCTCTCAAGAACAACTAGGCCAATTTCAACCAAACTTGCTACAAAGTTAGTATCCACTGGGCCAGGTAAGATGAAACTCATATGGAATCATCTTCAGGTAGTGTAGATTCAAGTTTGTTCAAATCTTGACCCTGGGGGATAGGGTGGGACCACATAGCCAATCAAAGTTTTACACAGGAATATATAGAGAATTTGAAATCTTTAAAAATCTTCTCAAGCAGGGTTGCACTCGCCCAAAATGCGAGTAAATTTTCACCAGGTGATAACATGGCGAGTGATATTTTCCAGAATCTGATCGAGTTTGGTTCAACTATTCAATGTACTTTCGTTTTCAGGCGGATTTTTCTGTGTTTGATCATTCAGCTGATTCCAGAGCTTTATTTGAGATACAAAATATGTCAATCTAGTCAACGTTTACCTTAAATTTAAAGAGTAATCATTATTGTAACAAGAATACCCCCGCTATAGGCAGCCATGTTGGGTGTCCACTGTAAATATAACACCTGGTTAATTCAGTCCAGGTATGTTTGGCTCCTTTATTTGAAAAAAAAAAACGACATACCGACTTTTGGTTATTTGGGAATGTTACAAGAATCAAATATTTTTTAAGCCTATATACATGCCCTGAAACATCTTAAATCAAAAGAAGCAAAATTGAATTGAATGATAACATGGAATTTCATACATTTAGTAGTGTAAAAGTCTGCAGGAAAAATTTTAAAAGAAATAATGAAATACTATGGCCATACAGTATTTTTCTCTTATCTTTTTATATGAAAAGATTTTTTACAAAGTGAAAAAAAAATGTGGGCCCCATAAAATCAATGTGGGCTAGTGAAATTTGTGAGGTTGGGGGCCCACATGGCCCCTAAGGTTTGAATGTTATTTGCAACCCTGCTCAAGGACTGCAAAGCCATGATAAGTGATATTGATATGAAATCATCCTAGATTGTTTTTTTTTGCATTTTACAACAATATATTTTTTTTAAAAATTCTCAAGAATAGCAAAGCTATGATTGGTGATATTAATATGGAAGCATCCTCAGGTAAAGTAGAATTAATTTACATGGTGGATCAAAGTTTTACATAGGAAAATAAAGGGAAAAAAATCCCCCCCCCCCCCTGAAAAAAGAGAAGCTATGTTTAGTCATATGGAAATGTAAACATCCTCATGTATTGAAGATTTAAATTTGTTTAAATCCTGATCCTTTGTGGTAGGGAGGGAAACAGTGGGGAATCAAATTCAAATTATTACTAAGTAATATATACGAACAAAATGTTAAAAAAGTTATATGCTGTATTGATATGGAGGCATTCTTAAGTAGTGATAAAATTTAAGCCCCCCCCCCTCTTCAGTAAATTACATGTACCATAACTTTTCTATTCTGGTCTACTTTGTGCTCTTTCCTTGCCGATGTGCTCAGGATTTTCATTTATTTACAACTCCTAATTTATTAGCTGTACATTAGGTGATTGTTTATTTTGCTAGGCCTTTTGTAAGACCTCAGTTTAGAATCATTTGTTTTACAGTATACATCTTCTTTACAGAATTCAAAGTATTTCTACAAAAGAAACAAGGGAAGGCATCAGTTATTTAACAGGATGTGATCTCCAGCAGGCCTCTGACATCGTTGAAATTCCAGCTCCAAAAACAATTCCAAAGTATGATCATCTCCCTTCAAGTCAGCTGTTAAATGCTGAAGAGATCTATTTTGATTTGGAAACTACTGGACTCGGTAAGAACCTAGATTTAAATGTTAAGTCAATGCTGATGGTTATGGCCCTCTTCCGGTATTTCTTTTGTATGCATTTTGAAGGAATAATACTAGAGTTATCATAGAAAACGAATAGAAATGGAGACTCTTGCATAATTCCGGTATTGGTACAAGTAGTTGAGCATGTTTTATATCTTTCAAAACTTTACCCTTCCTTCTGAGGACACTGATTAAAAAGAAATTGCATATTCTGAAAGAATTCAAGCATCTTTGAAGGAGTTAAGTCTTGGGGAAGAGGGTTACTATTATTATAATGTTTCAAAATTTTTTAAATCATGCATACTGTAAACGGATTACATTTGGCTGTGTATTCTAATAGCGGATTTGGCGAAACGCAGCAACCGCTAAATCAAGTACAACGCTAAATGTCTTGCACATATACACATAAAGAAGAAAATGAAGAAATGCGCTAAATCAAATCTACGCTTACTTATTCAAAAGTCAATTTCTGCCAAATATCATACATGCTAAATATAATACATTTACAATATATCAATTTTTGTATGTATTTTTTTTAATGCTTTTAATTTTAAAAACTTGAATTTACTTAAGGAATGAATTAAATAGCAACCCAAATTATACTGTATTACCTGGGTTGGGGCAGTTTACGCTTTCTAAACCTCAAAGCGGTTTATAAAAAAGCGTAAACTGCTCCAACCCAGGTTGTAGCAGTATAATTTGGGTTGCCATTTAATTCACTCCTTATGATTTAATTTTCAATCATCAAGAATATAAAACAAGACAAATTTTCTCTTTATAACGCCTTCAAATAGTTCATATTTTAAACGTAACGTCAAGCGGATTGATACAATTTGATGTAAGTCATTGTGACGTAAGCAAACCAGATTATACAATTTAGATTAATTTTTTATCCAATCAAATGATGCGTTACAATCAAAATTAAATTATTTGTTTTTTATTTTTAGCAAGGGATTCTCATATTGTGCAGTTGTCTGCAGTTAGAAATGATGAGGTTTTCAACAAATACATCATTCCAGAAAAACCAATGTCCTCAAAAGCTACAGAAATTACTGGAATAAAAGTAGTCAACAATAAAATGTACCACAATGATGAGGAAGTTGAGACAGTCAGCATTAAGGATGCACTGATCCAGTTTATCGACTTCATGAAGAAATCGGAGTCAGATGCTGTTCTAGTTGGACACAACTCCAAAGTGTTTGACCTTCCTGTGCTGTTCAACATTTTGAGTAAATTAAACATTTTGGAGGCATTCTCATCTGCAGTCATTGGTTTCATTGATACCTTACCTCTTTTCAAAATTTCGCATCCAAACCTTTCATCATACTCACAGTTACACCTCTTCGAAGAAATTCTACAAGACAAATACAGTGCGCATGACTCATTACAGGATGTCTTAGCCTTGAAGAGATTGTTGGACCATACAGGACCTTCCCCTGAAGTCAAACTTGCTGCATCTTTCACTTCAAACTCTGCCTTTGCCATATTCCATCACAAGAACACAACAAAAAGTCTAATGAGCACACTAAAGCCTTTATTGGACCAAAAGGTGATTTCGAATGGAATGGGAAATAAGATTGCCAGCAGTGGACTCTCCTTATCACACTTACAACTGGCTTATCGCAGAAATGGTAGGGAGGGAGTACAGGATGTGCTGACAGAGATAACAGATAACAGTGTGCGTGTGACAAAATCTAGAAAAATCATTGATTCTGTTGCAGATTTTCTCAGATCTGAGCAGTAACGCAGTTGTATGATGTTCTTTGTATGTAACTATGTTATTGTTTGTTTGGTTGTTTGTTTGTTTGTTTGTTTGATTTCTGTGAGCCAGTGCTCACTAGTAATACCCTCACTCTGATGTGAATATGGACAGACAGGAATAAACAAAGTTAATTGACAATGGATTCGTACAAAAATGAATCCAACCATATTTCATGTCTAAAAAATTTCAAGCATCTGTGATGAGTAGTTGTGGAGAAAACTGTGACAAAAATTTATTATTTGTGGTACAGACAAAACCAATTCCAACTGTGATGAGTAGTTGTGGAGAAAACACAAAAATTTGATAAACAGATAAACAGGAAGTTGACATCAGATTCGTCTAAAACCAATTCCAACTGTGATGAGTAGTTGTGGAGAAAACTGTGACAAAAATTTATTATTTGTGGTACAGACAGATGCACAGATAAACAGGAAGTTGACATCAGATTCGTCTAAAACCAATTCCAACTGTGATGAGTAGTTGTGGAGAAAACTGTGACAAAAATTTACTATTTGTGGTACAGACAGATGCACAGATAATCAGGAATTTGACATCAGATTCGTCTAAAACCAATTCCAAATGTGATGAGTAGTTGTGGAGAAAACTGTGACAAAAATTTATTATTTGTGGTACAGACAGATGCACAGATAAACAGGAAGTTGACATCAGATTCGTCTAAAACCAATTCCAACTGTGATGAGTAGTTGTGGAGAAAACTGTGACAAAAATTTACTATTTGTGGTACAGACAGATGCACAGATAATCAGGAATTTGACATCAGATTCGTCTAAAACCAATTCCAAATGTGATGAGTAGTTGTGGAGAAAACTGTGACAAAAATTTACTATTTGTGGTACAGACAGATGCACAGATAATCAGGAATTTGACATCAGATTCGTCTAAAACCAATTCCAACATACGGCATGGCTAAAGAAAGAGTGTGCTAAAACTTAAAGCATCTGTGATGAGCAATTGAGCATGATGAGTGATTGCTGAGAAAAATTGGACAAAAATTTGTTACTGACAGAAAGACACACAAGTGTAGAAAGAAAAACAGTATAAACCCTGTGCTTCAGAGCAGGGGTATAATTATGCCATGTACTATTGTTTTTTTCAATGTTTATTGTTATAGGTAGTTTGTAGTTGAACAAAACATTTTCTTTCCATTCAAAATAAATCCTTATTTAGAAATTGACAACAATTTATTTTCATTACCCATATTTTGAGCATACATGAAAAATTAAAAGGTGTTCATTGATATTTATTGAAGAAGACTATGTGCATATTAAATTGAAACATGCACAAATGAATATGAAAGGACATTCTGTAAATGTTTAATATTGTGTATGACCTATACTTGGCAGTAATCTATTTTTCAACAATCGGGCTAGGTTTGATTTCTAGCAAAATTTTTATTGTGTACTTATAAATACGCAGGTCATAAAGTTAGCGATGTTCTTGATATAGCAACAGCAGTTTTCTGTCAAAGGCACAAAAAATCTAATGTTTACAGTATATAAAAATGTTGTATGTTACTTGTAAAGGTAACAATTTGATAGATCTCTATCACAAGGAACATGGATCTGAATAAAGTTAAATAGTTGATCATTTTTCATCTTGAATAAAGAACATTTTGTTTGATACAATGAAATCAAGAGAGATTTACATTGCATGATGCAAATTAAACTAGCTGTTATTGGTACAACTAGTAGTTCAAAACATTCATTTAATCTTTTTTTTTATTCCCTTCATTTTCAATAACTGGAATTTTGCTGTGAAACGTTTATAGTGAAATGATTACTATGTGGTGGTTTTTAGCTCACCTGACACGGAAGCCCGAGTGAGCTTTTCTGATCAAAGATTGTCTGGCAATCGGTCTTTTGTCTAGGGTGTGTAAAGTTTGATATATTTTATTTCTTTGAAAGACCAACTGGCCCAATTTCAATTAAAGGGATTTAACTTTGTTCATAGGAAGTGTCTCGCCCTCTTGAAGTGGGGGGTAATTAAGAATTTTGGTGGCATTATTCAAAAATCTTCTGAAGAACCACTGAAGAAAAGATGACATTTACGTGAAATTTAGCTTCATTACATACCCTATATTCAATAATTCCTGGGGGATGGATGGCCCACAAGTGGAGCAAAGTATGCATAGAAAAATATTTGAAATGTCTGTAAAATTCTCTCAACTCAGAACAGGCAAAGCCATGATTAGTCAAACTATTAAAGAATTATCCTCAGGTAATGTGAGTGGGCATGAAAATAGATATTAACCCCCCCCCCCCCACCCTCCCCTAAGTCTTAAATAGTCCCCAAAAAAATGAAATGTCCCTTTTCTTTTAAAGAAAAAGATTGAGTTTCAATACACTTATTCATTTAGGCAAATAGAAAATCCCCCAAAATCATGGAAGAGGCAAACAGAATCAATCCGAATTTCCTCTGGTCAAAATTTGAGAAAAATGGGTCAGAGGAAATTCAAGTTAAAATATCTTTAAAAGTAACTCATATTGATATACAATTTTTTACACCATTTGAAAGCACTTCATCTAAGTAACAAATATATAGAAAAAAAATACTTGTTAATTATTTCTAATTTATTTTCCAAGCTCATTTTATAAGCCCTGTGAAAGGAAAAAAAGGCATTTTTTTGTATGAGGGTGTGTGCTTTTTGATAAGAATTAAATTTTATCTTCTATCAATTATCATTATTATTTTATCAATATTTATATTCCCTATGACTACTTTTAAAAGATAGCAAAAGGTTGGAATGATTTGAAAACATTTCATAGTTTAAAATAAATATTAAATATGTTGGACACAAATTTGGTCTTTTTCTTTACTAAAATGAGAGAATTACCTCCCTTTGTCAGGAACACCTATAGCTTGAAAATTAAATCATATTCATATGCATTTTTCTGGCTTAAAATAATTTATTATGTTTATTCTTACAATTAAAAAAGAAAAAAATCATTTTCAATTATTTTTAATGTCAGAAGCCAAACACCTTAAAAATATTGAGTGCTTTGGTTTTTATAAATTTATTTTTTTTTTTAACACACAGACCTGGGAACCGGGGAGGGGAAGTACAAAGATAGACATCATATTAAACATTGATGTATAGGTTTAGCCCCCATTTTCAACAGGCACGTTGCAGTGTAGTCGAAGAAGACTAAGTGGTAGTGTTTGGAAGAACAAAAATTGATATTGAAAGAAGTTCGATCCCCCATTTACGAAACAGGATTCTCGTATTTGGACAAAAGATACATTTTTTCCTTTTTTTAACCAGTATTACCTTATAACCCTAGACTCTAGAGTTAAAACTCCTTTTTAAAGACTTGATTTTCATGACTGTAAGCTGCCATACATTGGTATCAGTGTTTAAAAAATATTCCAAGTGGTCTGTATTGAAAGAAGTCCTTTACGAAACAGGATTCTTAACAAAAGATACATTTTTTCCTTTTTTTAACCAGTATTACCTGACTTTGTAAGCTGCCATACATTGGTATCAGTGTTTAAAAAATATTCTAGCCCTTTTAAACAAACTTTTGGTCCGAAAATACCTTATTAATTTATTGGAAAAAAATTGAACAGAGAAAATGTCATACTTTTTGGCATATCATTCTAAGGTTATAGTGAGATCAAAACAAACCTTACCTTTTTGACTCTGTTTAATCGGGTCATTTTCTTTTTTATTTAATTCTAACAAAGTTCCTTATGGAGCATAAATGAACATAACTTGAAAAAGCTGTGAACAAAATGTGAAACATTAAATTTTTTTTATTGAAACCGTCATTGAAATCAACAACTATCAGTATTTTGATTAGTAGAGGATATCGAGCCCGATGCTGTATAAGCGATAAATTTTATAAACAAAATCTGTTGCGCGAGCGCGCCGAATACAATTAGCCTAACAGAGAGATTCAGTAGGCATAACATGAAAACGAACTGGAGAAATCAGGGGTCATGAAAAACAAGGCAATAAAAGGGATTACATGAAGACCCAATTGTTTGTAAGCAAAGTCATGTCTATTTGACCAATTCTTATCACTAAAAATAAAAGAAATTTGAAAGGCTCTGTAAAAAAAAAAAAAAAAAAAACATATCCAAATGTTTTCCAATATAACAAATGTTAGGATAATGATTTTGGATCATAGTTTTTAATACTACAATTAGATACAGAGACTGTAGACTTGATAACATTTATGAAATTTAACTATGCATGTAAAATCTTTTCTTACAACTACTTCATTAACTTGTGGTGCACTACCGGGTGAGTGTAAAAAAACACAGATTTAACAAGCTACAAGCATATGTAAAGAAAATTGAATAAGTTTAATAAATTTATCTTAAATGCTGCCAAATTAAAACATGTAACAAATGCTGTATAACAATTTTTCAGAAAAAGAAAAAGACTATTTTCCTTTTTTATGCTGTATTTTTTTTCATGTATCCCACTTTTATGAGTTTATTCTTCATTTCAATTAGAGAGAAGCCAGTGATCTGAATATAATGTGCAGAGTTTACAGTGTACATGTATATAACAAAATGCACAAGTAGCAGGAGATAAGGATAATTTCAATAGTTGTTTAAGACTATTACAGAAGTTACAGATGATTACAGTTAATACAAATTTCTGTCTATTTTGTCTGTTAATAGAGTTGTCTCCCTCTAAATCTCTTACCTTCTTAACTTTATTTTCCTTACTGACAAATCAGAAGTGCTGTGTTATAAATATGATGGTGAATAGGAGATAAATATCATGATAATGTCAATCATATAATACACATTTGTATAGGAATTAGCTTATTTTGTGATGAGATAGATTATCCAATGAGTTTGATGTTTTTTTTACAAAGCCTACAACAAAGGAAAGGGAAAACACAAAACTTGCAGGATAATTTTAAATATACTTTATAAAGATCTTTTTATTTAAATGATTTTATTGAATAAATTAAATTTCTATCATGATCTGTGTCTCCAAATGCAAGCAGACTATACTGGCATTCAAAATAAGAAATACAAAAAAAATTGTTCATTGATTTTCACTGGATCAAGAAGTCGCCCGCGTGGCGCAGTGGTTTGAGCGTCTGCTCTAGCGTCGCGAAGTAAGTAGTTGATCCTTACGTCGCGGGTCCGAATCCCACTGTGGGACGTGGAGATGGGTCCTTCGGATGAGATTGTATAAACCGAGGTCCCGTGTCACAGTAGGTGCTGGCACGTAAAAGATCTCTCCCTGCTCAATGGCCCTGAGTGCCGAGTAAAGGACGAAATTTGCAGCTCTCCACCGGCAAGTGGTGGCGTCTCCATATGAGTGAAAAATTCTCGAGAGGGACATTAAACAATACATAATTAATCATTAATCACTGGATCAAGAGATATAAATTGCATGTCTGTATGTATGACAAAGAGGAATAGACTCATACTAACCAACAGAAATGTAATGTTTAAACATATCACTTCTTACAACATGGACATACTTCAAAACTCGACTAGACGAGTAATAGATCAATTAGTAGAGTTTATATTCAGCCGAGATTAGCTGACCCTCACCTCTTCGTTCTGTACCGTCTGCTGCCAGCGCCACCTCCTGTATAAAGCGTGTCTGTACGGCTTTTTTGTCAAGGTCTCGTAGAGTTCCTTCCTCAGCATTAGCTGCCGATCGTGGATTCCCCACATTGCTGTTCAACAGAAATTGTAGACAACATCAAACAACACACATAACATGTAGTTTACAAGGTGCCTTACAGGTTCTTAATCAGTGGGATTCCTTTCACTAAGATTAGCTTGTGCCCTTTTGTGATAATATGGTTGAAACTTGCCAAGTGGTTTTTAAGAAGAATGATGTCAATAATTTAAAAATTAACAGGTATGCTTTATCCAATTTTAGTCTCCTATCTTAATGAATTATTTCTCTACACACCTAATGAGGCAGCATGCAAAAGACAGTTTCCATCTCCTGAGGTAGCCATAGGCAACAATCGCTGACAGATTCCCATTTCTGCCCACCAATTCAGACGTCCTGAAAACAGAAAAATCAATTCTGAAGAAAATTTGTAACACTAATGTGCAAACACAACTCCATGAAAGATTTATTTTAAACTGCAAAAGACAGTAAATGTCAGAAACATTTGCAAGGCAAATTTACATGTATGGAGGTACATTTGTAACACAGTGTAAGAAAAGCATTACAGAAATTGTGTTGTATTTCATGTGATTTATTTCAGCTTTTTCCAGAGTAAATTCTTGTTATAACTGTATTGTATGTTTTATACATGTTTGTTCCAGTGTTACATAGTGTTATACCAGCTTGTTCCAGTGACACAAGGGTTGAAGTCTCGATCAGGTCTTTCTCGAGGAAGGCACGGTAATCTGCGGAGAAGACGGTGAGGTCTGGCAGGACGAACGTTTGGACGTACATGTGGTCGTGGCTGTCCTCGGATATATCCTCCATCAGACCTTTCCTAGCCAGGTCCACCAGTGACTCATTCTCCACGATCTTAGAGAACCCTCGCTTCAGAGGCCGCGGGGCTGTAAAACAGATAGAATCTCAGTACAACAAAGGAGTGTGAATAAAATTAGGTACCATACCTCCATGCAACAATATGCACATAAATTGCAATGCACAAATGGATACAATTTGCAAAATTTATACTATACAAAAATTATAACAGTGAAAATGACCAAAGTGACCTTTTAGGTTTTTGAGGAACTACCGGTATTTCTTCTGACAACTTGGCATATTTTTTTTTTTTACTTTTTAAGATCATCATGTTCTGAACAAACCAGTGTGTTTCACTTACAGGCTGTTGGAGAGGGTGTCACAGCCTTTGTGTCTGCTGCTGAGGACTTTTTGGAAAGTTCATTCATTGTGGGGGTACTCTGACTACTTGTGGCTGTGGATCTAGTGGCTGGCTGTGTCACATGGGGGGATGGTGTGACTGGTTGTGATGGTGCGACAGTCTTTGAGTTTGATGAAGTTGTTACGTGTTTGCCTGTGGTGGTGGTAGGGATCTTGACTGGTTCCCCAACACTAACTGACATGACTAAGGGTCTGGAGTTTTCAGTATTCTGTAATTTGGTATTCCCCAACTGCTGGGAAGCAGCTGGCTTATTGACAACTTGTGGCTGGGTGACTGACTTGTCACTGATTTTTGGCTGAGTTGTTGACTTGGTACTGGCTACCTGTGAAGGGTGGGTGGTTGGCCTAATGTTGACTAGTGGTTGCTGAGGAGTTGAGGCAGAGGGATGAGGGTCCATTAACTTAGGTCCAGGGGGGTTAGTGCTGATGGGGGGTGGGCCAGCTGACCATGAATGAATCAGAGGTTTAGGGGCCACTGCTGGGGGAGTAGAGATCCGAGGATTCAGTACAGAGTGATGTAGGACTGGGGGCTGTGTAGAGTTGACAGGGAACATCACACTGTGCCCTACAATACATCAAATCATAAATAAAGATTAGACTGCATATTATTTCTTAATTCAAAGTTTAAGGTCAAAGTCAATACAAAACATCTTTACTTGAGAAATTCAACAGATCTAAACACGACATTTCAAAATATCCATTTTAATATATGTGGACATTATAAAGGACAGTATATCATTGGATATACCAAATTCTGCTCCATAATCCAGTTTAAAAAGAACAAATTTCAGCTGAAAAATAAGACTGGTAAATAAAATTGGGCTATGTTTGTTTGACTCCTACCTTTGTCAGGCATCCTCTCTATTGGGATAATACGTTCTACTGGGGGGTTCCTCACCTCTCCGTATGGATCAGCCCACTGTGTACCAGACACATGACCTGAAAAGCATACAATGAGGATATTTAGACCTTAAAGGATTCCAAATATGAATCGGTGATAAATAATTATATCCAAGAACAGCAAAAATTTATTTGAAGTATTGAATTGTGTATTTTTTTTTTTTTTTTTTTAACAAATTTATCAAGTTAATTTACTTCTTAAAACTTAAAGCAAAAGCATGCTGATGTTCTGCAATCACTTTAGATATTAGAAAGTCACTGTAAGTAACTGATAAAAAATTTTAATTAATTAAATTAAATAGAAAGTATTCAATGTTTAACCTAATTTTATGTAACACTGTGTAATGTATAAGTAGTATTGATTATTTCACCACAGCCTTCTAGCTTACAACATACCTGGTAAGTTTGGGGTGGGTTTCCTGTCCCCCGATCTGAGTGTCCCCCCTGGCAGTCTCTGGGAGGGACCATCTATCCACCCAGCGGACACTTGAGGAGGGGGGTAGACAGGCTTGATCCTCCCCATTCTGATGTAATCCTCAAATCTCCGAATCCCCTGCCCAACATCCCAGCCAACTTCTGAAATGTTCAAAACAGCCGACATAAAAAAATTCTGTGGAAGTTATTTCATATCATTGATTAATTTGGTTAATTTCATCATGCTTTCAAAAGCATCTACTTGTTTTTTAATCCTTTTGAGTTTAAACCTGAAATTTCTAACAAACAATTTTTAAAGTGTGATACATGTATTACATTACAAAATTTAGGCTGAGCATGTCTCTTATCAAAGCCCGCTGTGTTTCTTTTCTCAAACAACATAAATACCTGGTACATGCTAATTCACAAATAGCTTAATTTGATAAAGAACCGAAAGAGAAATTCTCGTTTATCATCACAAGCACCTAAGAGTATTTTCCAATGCTTTCCCCTAAGTAACATATTACATAACATATGACAAATTAAAGCATTTAACACAAGAGAGTGTGAACATTAACAAGTCTATCAAAAAGAAGTATGAGTAAGCTGAGAGATAAACTTTTATTTTGGGGTTCGTACCAGATAAGATATTGGCGGCCAGGTCTGGTTCCAGCCCAGTGCTGTCTATAAAGCTCCGCAGGGCCTGTTTCTTCTCCATCCTGCTACCTGCTCTCCACAATCACAAACATCTCAGGAAGAACCTGAAAAAGAGGCCAGTACCATCAGAAATCTAATCCCAGCTGTCTTAATGGACCAAATAAATGTACATCAAACTGCATATAGTAGGGAATGCTTTATTGATTTACAATTATTTTCCTTCCCTAAAGTGTCAACATGTGGAAATTGTAGTTGTCAATGAAACTTCCCTCTTTTATCTTTCTCAAATCATATTAGAGCTAATGAAAGCCTATTCCATATGATGCTAAGACAAGGGAGTCTTTACATTAGATAATATTTACATTAACTACTTAAAGACCGGTTTTAATTTATAATTGCCCAAATCATGTGTTTCCTCTCTAAGTCAGGTCTCTTTAGAAATATGGAAACTTCCTTGAGGGTGAGAGGAGAAGGGTTATCAAGTACATTGTGACAGCTACTTAAAAATCACTTCATCATAACATACTAACAAGATCATTTTTGACACTGCCATTTACACTTGGAACAAAAACATTCTCAAATATTTTCAAGGCAAATGATGGATTTCAAAAAAAAAAGTCACAATTAAAAACTAGAATTGAGCTAACAGAATGAGATCCTCAGCTCCCATTATGCCACATTTATCATGATGAAGGTGAATGAATTTAAATGGGACAAATACAAGTAACATTTTAAACTGTTCCTGCATTAAGCATAGTGACTTCAAAATAATACCAGAAAAACAACTTTTTAGAACTTTCTAAGTTCATACATAAAACAAAAGTCTGTCAGTGTGAGACATGCAATCTGGTGATATAAAGTTACCTAATAGTTTACAGGTAAAAGTTTACCATGTTTACATGCCAGTGTGAATTGCTAGGTTGAGAACATGAATATGATTGATATTGATTATAATTATTCTAAAGTTCAATAGAAATCACAACTAAATGTTCATCATCTTTATTAATTAAGTATATTTATATAAATATTTGATATTTGAAAAAAAAAAAAATATGTTTTAAAAAAAAAACATATGAATATGAAAACAGATACATTTATCTTAATGTTTTTCTTAAACAATGCTTAGGTACTAAAGTACTTGATCAAAAAAACAGAGTAGTAACAGGTTACAACAAATTGATCAATTTTACAACCCTATACTAATATTCATTTATGCCCACAATACACATTTTAAGATATGGGGTTGGGGAAGGTGGAAATACCTTGTTCATTCAAACTTTTTCAACATCACTGAATTAGTGCATCATCGCACTATGATTTATCAACATGATCAACCCAAACTTTAATAATGTGATGAAGCAATGATGAAATATATGGCCATATCTGGATTCCATACCATCCATACATACATTATCCATCATGCTTACTTGGTAAAAGTATAGATAAAATTCACTCATGTAAAGAATCTAGGTCATATCCAGCATCTGAAGCAGGTGGGGAAGTGTACATCCCTAGACCTATCATCCATGCAAATTTGGTCCAGGTAGGGCTTATATTTATTTGGAAATGTAACTGCTGTAAATACTTTAACCTGGTTTCTCAAAACCTAGGTCAGATCCAGCATCTGAAGCGAGTGTGGTATTCAATCCTTTGATGCAGATGCACTATATATATGCAAGTTTGGTCCACGTAGGGCTTATGGTTACTTGGGGATGAACCAGCTTCCAAAACTTTAATCTGGACATTAATTCACCTAGAAATTTAGGGCTAGACAAATAGCACTGCCCAACGCCCGGGACAACCAGTTTTGGTTGGTGGGCAAGTAATTTGATAGCAGGTGCCTGCCCGCGGACAAGTTGTTTTCCAATTAACAAAAAAAATATATGTACAATACTCAAACATATTTTATGTTATCGCTTTTAAAGTATCATGAATTACAGCAAAGCACCTGTTTTCACTGATGTTGACATTAGCCGATTTTGTGCTCCTCTAGAACTTAACGTGTTGTGAAAATATGCATATGTCGTAAAACATGTAGTTACATAAAAACGTGGTATGGGAATAGACGTATATATGTACTAAATTCATATGTAAATACAGATGCTATGGTATTAAAATTGTATTCACACAGCAGAGTATTGTTTTGTTCAAGAAGGTTTTATGGGACATATATCACCATTTTCCATTAAATAAACACAACATTACTTTTTTAAAAAGTGTACATGTATTTTATTGCAAAATTTTAAGGAAAAATACCCCTTAAAATTAATCATTTTCATCTAAATTTATCTAAAATTTTATTAGGTGATTTAATATCAACACACAGGCTTCACTTCTATGTATTTTAAAAACGGTTATTTTTTGGTAGGACAAGTTGTTTTACGATGGTAACCTGTCCGAGGGCAAGTACTGAAAAAATCTATTTGTCTACCCCTGGAAAATTAGGTCAATTACAACATGCAAAGAAAGTGTGGTGGTGTAGGGAACTATTCTTTCAATAATTTGCCATAAGTCTTATGAAGTTAGATTTTGTGCAGAACTTTTACAAATCCCACTTTACATATTGATAGGTATATATGTACCTATACATAAATGTATTCAAAGAGTGAAGAAAGGGACATATATCTATGTTTTCAATACACAGCTGAACATTCACTTGTAATGTCTACTACTAGTACTAGTATCCATCTTTTTCTTCTTTAAAATTTATACGACAACTTCCACAAAGGCGTTGAAACTTCACGGAATTCGCCCATTGTCACAATGTGTGTGGATTCTGTTGCTGCAGCACACATTCACATTTCTCTTTAATGCGATGCCGTAATCGTTGATGCCTGACTCACGGGATGACAATAAGGCATCCATCCATCATTCAATGACCCCTTTGAAGTTAAGAACAGCAAATTTTTGCAAATACTTACTACTTAATCGTCTGTAGATCAGTTTATGTTAATCTGTGGATGATATCATTAGTTTTTCAACTTAATTTCATCTCATTTTAAGCTAGGTTTCTTATGAATCACAAAATAAATAACTAGCTGCTGATGACACTCGAAATCCTCAGCAAAACAAATTACCGGAAGTCTCTGTATACACTGTCCTTGTTAAACCGTACGTATATTCATTCGTTTTAAGAAGATATGATTATCAGACAAGCAGACCAGTCTACATTAAATTTTCTCGTCATTATTCGTATTTATTACTTCCAACTTTGTATTTTAAACAAATTTTAGCAATGTAAAATTCTCTTACAAACCATGATCAGTTTTTTTTTTTAAAGAAAACCAAAATTAAGTGTAAAATATTTATATTAAAAAATAGAAGAAAACACCACAGGCAATGCATTGAGTTTTTATTAACCTTTCTTTTCAGAAATAAAATCATTCCCCATACTATAATAATATTGATATTATTTTAATGTGGAATTTTTTATTTATGAAAAAAAGGTTACAAAAAAAGTCTATAGTCACCTGTGTTATACATGTATAAACACATTGAAAATATTATTTTAAAATTGATTAGGGTACCAATATAACTATAACCAAAAAATTTGCAATTTAGCAAACTAAAACTCTTTTGATGATCAATGAAAATTCATAGATTTAAATACAGATAAAGACCCAATCTCTGTTATATCCCCCCCCCTTTATCCACCCATAATTGAAGATTCGACGGTATCAAGTTTTTGCCCTTTCCGTCTGCCTGCAAAATGGCTTTCATATTTCACATGTGTAAATTTTCTTGTAACAAGAACTTTTTTTGATTATCAAAATATTTGACCTCTTGACCTTGGTATCAAAATTTATTGGCAATATCTTTGAACAGTTTGCTAATATTTCACGTGTGTTCATCATTATAGGACCTTTCCATAAGTGTAATTATTTAACATATCTATATATATATATATATATATATATATATATATATATATATATATATATATATATATAGATTTAACCTTTCATATCTTCTTAACAATTTGTACTAGGGCTTTCAATTTAAAAGGTTAATTCCTTGTGACAAGATCTTTGTTTGGATACTAACATTTTCTACCTTTTAACCTAGCTTAACCTTAAAGTTTGACCTATTTTTGAAAAATTTAACTTTTGTCATAACCTGCCTTATCGGGCATTAGTGTTTTACAAAGAACATATTGTATTCTTAAAGTTTTCAATCCTGAAAATTGACTGAGACTCTTCTAAGCACTTGTGGCTTTTGTCATTGGTCTAAATACTGTAAACCAACTTTTATTTGCGTGCAAGAAATATCTGCAAATTTTATCGACCTATTTTAACTCGTGAATATTAATTGCCACAAAGCATTTATTTTGCTTTGTATAAGTACAGAATGGTTCCTCAGTCACGAAAATTAATCATAAGATTGTGGATTTTATTTCAAACTGATGAATCACAAATAAAAGATGACTAAAATAAAAGCTGGTTTACAGTGTACAATGGAAGAGAGAATTGTCAGAGGGCCTGGGAATCTTTGGACTTCCTGTGGTACTCTATAGCACTAAGCTACTGGGACAAGGTACATAATTCCCATTACTTTTATAAACGAAACTAGATAAATGGTAGTTGTCAAAGTTTACTGAAAATAGTGTGTCCCAGTTTTTACATATAATATATATCAACAGAAATTTAAAATAATATATAGACACAGCATTATTTTGCTAGTCCATGTGTCATATAAAATTAATAGTCCAGACACAATATTATTTGGCTAGTCCCTGCTTCTCCCCTTTCCACCTCTCCTCTAGATGGACCTCACAACCTAGATCCCTCAGGGCGGCTTTGGCCTCGTCCTGGCAGGACTTGTGATTCCTCTGGGCTTCCTGAATCAAAGACTCCGCTCCCAGCTCCAGGAAACTGTCACAGTATTCCCGAGTTCTGGACACTAAGTTTCTGATGGCCATACAACTTTGCTTCTGCAAAAACAGTTGAGATTGTCATAAAGTGCAGTCTCAGTTTATATCATTTATTACTTATTTAATCTATCTAACAAAGGGAAAATATGTAAACTAGACCACCATTCATACTAATGCCAACACAAACTATTAAGCTATCTGGTCACCGTCAAATACTCCTCTACCTGACCAATACAAATTACAATTGAAACTTGCCCATTCTGGATGTTATATATTCAGAAAACTTGCTTTGTATAATATAAACTTTTAGTAAATTAAATAACTTATTGTCTAACCCAGAAAGTTCTCTAATCAGACCAATTTCTATGGAATCAGCAAGTTATACAGGTCTTACTGTATATAACAGGGTATTCCTTACCTGTACATTAGCGTTCTATGGAATCGGCAGTATCCAGGTTATACAAGTTTTACTGTATATAACAGTGTAATCTAGGGATGTGCGATTTTATCGGTATAACTAAAACCAAAAATCTATCGTGATTTTTTGTTGCGTGATACGTATCATGATACGGAGACCTAAATACCGGTCTTTATGTACATATTATAAAGTCCAGAAATTATTCATTTATTTGTTCGATCTTTCAAATTACAATTACAGAAAGTATAAAATATGTTGTAAAAAGTGAAAAGAACGGCATCTTACCAACAAACATAATTGATTTTATATACATATAAATTTCAAGAAAGTAAAATTTTGTTTTTCTAGCATATTTATTTGAAAAATAATGAAATTTCATATAAAATCATTGTAAAAACTGCTTTTTAAAATATCATGATATTATCATGATATTGTGGGAAAAAATCGTGATATATCACGATACGAAATTTTTGGCTATACCCATCCCTATAGTAATCCTTACCTGTACATTAGCGTCCTGGCTGTGGATTTTCATGGCCTGTAATGTAACCTGATGCCCATTTAGCTCCATGACTCTTTTACAGTTACTGGGGTTCCTTAGTACCAGAGCCGCTATTGTGGCTGTCCCTAGCTCCGCTATCTTCTGGTTCGCCTGGTGCTTCATCATGGCGCCTAGAATTACCTCAACCCCTCCATTCTGGACCACAGTCTCTTTCACTTTGTCATTTCCTGCCAGGGCTTTTGTTACACTCAATGCCTGTTTGGCAATTTCCTACAAAACATTTTTTACTTTTAAATATTGTTCAGCTTTTAAGTTTACAAAAGACATGTTTGAAGACTCTAGAACCTTCACTGGAGGGAATACGTGTATAAATGAGTGCTATAGATAAATGTTCTATCATTTAATGATTATGGTTTGAAATGAGTTTTCAAAAAAACCAAGATTAATTGTGCTGATGACATAACTGTCCAGGCTATAAGCTACCTGTACCTGACAGATTATGGCTAATTAACTCTGTAACAAAACAAGACTTATCTGTGTGCTGAATGACACCACAGTGACCACACCCACCTTGTTGGCGATGCTGGCCTGGAATGCAGACAGTATGAGGTCAATGCCCCCCATGTCCATCACAGCCTGACAGAACTCGTCCCGGACCACCAGTTTACTGACCGTAGCAAACAGCTCACTCATCACTTCAGGCTTATCTGTAAACTCTACAACACACAGATTACAATGTTAGACTCTTCATCATACAGTTTACCATCTTAGTCTCTGTGTAAGGAGATCTGAGATAAATCCTTCATCAAGGTTTTCATACAAAAGTCTTATTTACTAATACATTATCATGTCGCATCCTATAAAATACAGATGTACATAAAATAATGAAAATTCAATAGTAGTCAATCTTCCATGTGACCATTAACAAGTAATAATATACTCCTGATACTATTCATAAATTTACATCTATTACCATGATAACACTATCAAAATAACTGCATTTTGTTTAGTTGGTATTTACTCCTAGCTTGTAGATAAAGATTTTCCAGGGCAGTAAATTTCACAAATATAAGAAGAAAATATTCAAAATACTAACCTTTACACAGATCTATAATGATTTTCAATGCATTCCCTTCTGTGACTATCATCTTGGCATGTTCATGTGCTTGACCAAATGGAACTCTGATGTCATCATCAAATGTCAGGACCTGCAACACTTGGCAAGTTGCCATGACAATTGTTGGATGACTGCGTTGAGTCTTCAAGGTCGAAGCTAACTTTTCTATCAAACCTAACTTAACATATGATTGTCTATTCTCCTCATGCTTTATACAGCTATTTCTAACAAACAAGAGAACTGGTTCTAAAATTTCAGGGTTTGATGAATACATCTCTAATAATTCTAAAAAGAGTTCCTTTCCTTTGTTATCTAATAAATCTGGTTGTCCATTAGTCAAGGAAATCAGAGAAATCAGAGTCTGTTTCAGAAGATTTACATTGTTCTTGTAGTTTTCCAGTGTTTTAATAAGAACATCATAGGCTCCGTCCTTGCCCGCTATGCATCTCACGGCTATATCTTTGTCACACTCTAGTTTCAGCTTGACAAGATCACTAATAATCTCTTCTTCATTGTTTTGTGTTAGAGAGGTACTAAGGTTGTTCAGAACTGACATCACAGGAAGCTCTTTCTTTTCACCGTCAGCACCGTACAGTGTGGGATCCTGAATGATGTTCATAAGATTTACACCCTGAAAATTATATGATCAACCGTTGTAAAAAAGCCTTTTAGGATTCTACATCATATATATACAGATACAGATCAACGTATTACAAGCATAACCAAAGACCAGACATAATATAAATCATTTTTCCTACAGTACCATTAATTGATTAAATCTATTTCATATTTAAAATAAAAAGTCAACTGATAAGACATCAAACATTTTTAAAGTACAAACCTGAGACAGAAACTGCTCCACTGCATCTTTGACCGCCTCATCAGCACTCATCTCAAACTCTGTCATGTTTTCCTTGACGACATCATCAAAGGTCTCCTGTGTTATCACTTTAGCCATCTCTCGTCTCTACCATTCACGTATCAGGAATACGCTGATGTTGTATCTTTTTTCCGTCAACCTAGACAAAATGTGATCATTTCTAGGGTAGTAAATACTATGTGAAACCAGGAGAAAGTATAAACACTGACTCATATAGAGATTAGGGCCTAGTCTAGAATCTTCTGTCAATCATCAATGGAAAATGATTCATTCGTGTTAATGATTAAAAAAAAAATCATGCTTTTAACTTTTTCAGAAATATAAATCAATCGTGTATTTTGAGGCAATGAAAACAAACCGTCTGTGTGTTTAACTGTACAGCTTCAATGAGCCAAACGGGAACTGTCTAAACACGCTGGTTTGTTTACAATAGTTGCGTCTGCGTTCCCAATTAAGCGATCGTTCATAGATTTATTCGACTCTCAACGGTACAAAGTCGCATTCTTTGTTTACCTTTTCGTCGGATACAGACTATGATTCCATTTGGTCACATTTTATTTACATATATCTCTTAATTCATCTTTCCCCAAAATAATTCTTTGACACAAAATCGTTATGGTGTGTGTTTTTCGAAAAGGGGGGGGGGATAAAATAATAAAACTTGAAACACCCCCCACCCTAAAATAATATAATAAAAATTCTGTCCATTTCTCTAGTTTTTATGCTATGACATTACGGAAAACAAACCCTGCTCTAGAATTTCCCATGATCTCATGAAGACATCTAAAATATATATGGAGGACGAACCAGGGATTTTTTATTAAATTTTTATTTTTTGGAAACTCCATGTGCACCACACACATGCCATAATAATCAACTAGTTGATTGTGGGCATTACATGGCAGAAGCAAAAGCAGAAGGGAACTATATACTAATTAAGTAAGTTAGTATATAGGTCCCTTGGCGAACCTTTTCTTTACTGAGTTTTAAGGCCTGTCCTTTCCCTTTCTCTAGTTTGAAAGCTTGGAAAATAATCCCTACCGAAAATTTTCCCTTTATAACGTGAAAACATCTGAAATACAGATGGAGGGCATTTAGCAAGAGCTAGATGTTTGTGAAACATGTACCCCACCCCCTCCTGTTTTCTAAGTTCAAGCCTCCTGCACTTAATATTGTTTCTCTGATAAATTTTTAAACCATTGTAGCAGTATAATTATAACATAAAGGTGTTATTATACTATAGGTTAAAAATTTATTACAGAAACAAGTGCCTGTGGTCAAAGGGGCATAACTCTGACCAAATTCAGTCGATCATACCCAAAACAGAACTTAAATAAACCTAGATATTCTTAGGCCTATGATAAATCTGCATGCAAACAAAATTACATTTCAGTATATCACGGCGGAGAATCTACGTCATCGGATGGGATTAGGACACACAAAAATGGAGGACAAATGCATGGAAGTTGATTTTTTGCATTTATAAAGAATTATTAAATATTTTTTATGCCAACGAAAACTACAATAGACAATGTACGTTTGCTCGTGTAGCACCACACACACAGTGCCATAATAAAATCAACTGTTCAGATGTGGGCATTTTACATCCGCGTTTACACTAGAACTAATATTTTTTAAAAATCCTGATTTTTTAAATAGTTAATTATGCTTTAATTATCCAAGAAAAAAGTATAAATCATTTTGTTTTCAGAAATGATAGGTCACACCACTAAAACGGATATGGGACACACAATAAGTTACTTTCAAATTGAAACATCGAGCATTCACATCTTAAAGTTTCCACTTAAATGACTGCCATTTGATAGTATATGAACAATAACAAGCAAACCAAGGGAATCAAGTATTTGGATGAGTATTACAAAGATGAGTTGTACAGGTTATTGTTCATATACTATCAAATGGCAGTCATTTAAATGGAAACTTTAACATGTGAATGCTAGATGTTTCAATTTGAAAGTAACTTGTTGTGTGTCCCATATCCGTTTTAGTGTTGGTGTGCCCTACATCATTTCTGAAAACAAAATGATTTATACTTTTTTCTTGGACAATTAAAGCATAATAAACTATTTTAAAAATCAGGATTTTTAAAAAATATTATTATAACATAAAATGTCTATTACATCTGGACATGCGTTAATTGGTCGAATTTTAAAAATGTGTACCCCACATCCCAGTTTTTTCCACTTGTTTTCAAACTGTGTCGAAGTGTTTGGAACATAACTATCACGACCAAAACGTACATTGTCTATTGTAGTTGACGTTCTTTGGCATACTTTACAGGAACTGATTTAATATTCATTCTTTATAAATGCAAAAATATCAACTTCTTACGGCCTATGATTTGTCCTCCATTTTTGTGTGTCAAACCCGTCCGATGACATTTCAGCCGTGTATATGCAACCTCTGTGAAGAAAATGAATGATGACTACATATAATTGGAAGTTTCCCTAGTTCAAGGGGCATAGATCTGTCCAAAATTGTTCCATTGTAACCAAACAGAACTTGACCAAGATATTCTTATGATAAATCCATATGCCAAATTTCATTTTAGTATGTCCAATGACTCAATGGTTCTTAGAAGAAAATTTTTGAAAAATGGCATCAAAATTTCACTTATTTTTAATTACATGTACATCTCTCAGAGGCCTCTGTCCTTCATTTGCACAGACTTGAATGGTCCCTTAAATTTAACAAAGGATGCCTTAATTGTGGCAAGAACCAGTGGTCCTTTAGAGGAGGTCAAAAAATGAGAAAAGTTTATAGACTGACAGACAGCAAAACAAACTTAATATCAAAATCCTTCTTGAATAGAGTTTTATTGTCAAAAGTGAAACAAAACTTCTTTATAATCAGTTTTAATCATGAATATTAAAAAAAAAATGATAAAACATGTATTTTTGGCACTTGATCATTTTTAAATACAAACAGTATTAATTAAATGGCAAAATAAACAAGAGGCCCACGGGCCTTATAGGTCACCTGAGTATCATGTAACAACTTTCCAACAATTGAATTTGGTTCGTGTTTTAAACCAGAGGTCATGAAATTCACAATTTTAAAAGAGGCACCATTGCTTATCATAATTATAAACTATAAAGCATGTTTACTCTATTTACTTAATACCCAGAGGTAGATCAGAATAACAAAGAGAAAATGCATTTCCACTTTAAAACCATTTGTGCAACCCACCCCAAAGGTACCACTGACCATGGTGCCACATATTTCAAAATTTTGGAAATTTTATCATAAATTTTATTTCATCATAAACGGTAGATAAATACCAAAGAGCAGATTTCAAAGCATAAATTTATTTTCAGACTATGTACCCCTCCCATGACACCCCTGACCCAGGGGGCATGAAATTAATAAGTTTGGAAGAGGCACTGACATGCTAATCATAACTATATATACTTGGATCATTAGCATAATACCCAGGTGCAAAGGAAACAATTTTCAGAGAATTAATGTATTTTCACTATATAATCAAAAGAGCCCACCCCCCTATAAACCAAACGGCAAATTCCCTGACACAGGGGCCATGAAAATCACAAATTTGGTTGAGGCATTATAACTATATACTAAGTTAGTTTATTTAAAACCCAGGAGCTGAGAAGGAGATTTTGAAAGAATTAATGTATTTCATTAGAGCCCCACCCTAGCATCTGAAACACTGACCCCGGGGCCATGAATTTCACAATTTTGGAAGAGGCACTCTTGCTCATCATAACTATGTACTTAGTTAGTTTATTCAATACCCAGGAGCAGAGGAGAAGATTTTCAAAGAATTAATGCATTTTCACTACATAATCAAAAGAGCCCCACCCTAACACCAGAACCCCTGACCCCGGGGCCATAAAATTCACAATGCTGGAAGAGGCACTCTTGCTCACCATAACTATGTACTTAGCTAGTTTGCTTAATACCCAGGAGCAGAGAAGAAGATTTTCAAAGAATTAGTGCATTTTCACTATATGATCAATAAAGCCCCGCCCTAACACCAGAACGCCTGACCCTGGTGCCATAAAATTCACAATTTTGGAAGAGGCACTCTTGCTCATCATAACTATGTACTTACCTAGTTTACTTAATACCCAGGAGCAGAGAAGAAGATTTTCAAAGAAATAATGCATTTTCACTATATAATTTATATAGCCCCACCCTAGCACCAGAACCCCTGACCCAGGGGCCATAAAATTCACAATTTTGGAAGAGGCACTTGTGCTCATCATAACTATGTACTTACTTAGTTTATTCAATGCCCAGGAGCAGAGAAGTTTTTCAAAGAAATAATGCATTTTCACTATATAATCTATTTAGCCCCGCCCTAGCACTAGAGCCCCTAAACCCAGGGCCATGAATTTCACAATTTTGAAAGAGGACTCAATGCTAATTACATTCATGCAAACAATTTGACTGCTTGATGTCCAGGAGTAAAGAAGAAGATTTTTAAAGACTGCATTAATTTTAGTGGTTTTGGCCCCACCCCTCAGGCCCCCAGGGGGGCAGGGGCCATGAAATTCAAAATTTTTGTTCCCCTTCATCCATAGATGCTTTATACCATATTTGGTTGAAATTGGTTCAGTGGTTCCTCAGAAGAAGCTAAAAATGTTCAAAAGTTTAATACCGGCGTACGATGGTTTACTCAGGTGACCTAAAAAAATACATGTGCGTATACTAGCTTCAACATAAAAATCATTATTTCCCAATACAAAAATCCTGAAAAACAATATCTAGAATATCTTCTGAGGTGATTTTTCCTGTAATTTTTCCAATGTCGTACAGAACCTTCCTCAAACTTTGGGCAGCTAATACAACATCACCAAGATCCATGTAATGTTTGTAGTTATGGAGATGACCTTGACACTTCTGTAGGTGTAATCGATACCTGGCCTGTGTCAGACTGGGATTTCCTGACCGTGGATTTCCACACCTACAAGTAAAAATAAGGTTGCAGTTACAGACCCCGTGATTTAGTTATTTGTCTTTTGATGTAAAAATCAAAACGAGGTTAAAATTGTTGTAATGTGCAGTTAAGAACTTTAAATGTTACTTGTTTTAAAACTAGCAATAATTTTGATTCAGAGAGTACAGGGAAGCCACACGATGGTGCCAAAGTTGAACATTTTACCGATTTCCTTACTTCTGATGGAATTTCATCAATTTGAGATACTTTTCACCACGGGAAACATAATGCACAAGCTTGCCTATCTGAAATTTTTATACACAAGAAGTATCTGATACTAGTGCATTAAATATTTTAATTTGGTAGGTAGACAAGCTTGTGCTCTGTGTTTTCTGAAACATATTGTTTTATAAAATTGATGAAAATTTGAATAAAAATTATATAATTTGGAAATCAACATATATTGTGACCTTTGTTTACTCTATGAATTAAAATCAATAATCATTTAAGTAAAAGAGATGGCAACAGGTTTGAAATGATGAGTTATTGCATCGCTCCTGAAGAGACACCATAAATCAGGGGCCAAATTCCTTGTTCTCATGCCAAAATGTTCTCGAGAAGATTTTGAGATATTTAATTCCCATGAAAAATTCCCATTGACAATACATTTTTTGAAAAATATAACTTCATAACTTTCAGAACTGAATAATGTCTTCTCTCAGAGTTGGTGTTCATCGTTGTCTTACCCACCTTTATTCTTTCCAGATTTTAAAAACTTTTTCTTATGAATTCAAAAGTAAAACTGCTTTTTTTGCCAACTTTTGGTAAAAATTGGTCCAGTGGTTTGAAAAGAAGTTTCAAATGTGAAAAGTTCACAAAATAATGGGAGGATAGACAGAGGGATAGCTATATGACATACATCAGTGATCATGCAGAAAAGCTCTTTTGAGCTATTGAACTTTCAGCTCAGCTATAAATTCTTGAAAATTATTAGATGGCCACTAAAGCTAATTTTGTAAAAAGCAAATTAAAATATTTACATTATACTTAATTTTTGTTGTAGTACTTTCAGGAATTCTTCCACACCCCTTCCTGATGTACATGAAATAAAGCACACTGCAAACTGTTCATTGTTTTGTAGAAAGTCTTCTAACGATGACAGGTCTGAATCCAGCAACAAGTCACATTTGTTCAAAACCAATAATACATCACTACCAAAGGGAGAGAATTCCTGATAAATCTGCAGTTTGCTGTTATTTGAGACACTCTTTAAATCTGTAGATGTGTTATTTGTAGAACAGCTTTTGAACTTTGTCAATGAATCTGATAAAAGTCCTAAATCTTTTAAATAGTCTGTTATAATATCCTGAATTGGTGTTGATTTGGAAAGTTTACAGAGATCTGCTGCCTCAAGAACAAGAATCTTCAGATCCGCTTGTTCTGCTCTGGGTAAGAAAAAAGATATTAAAATGAATAACTGACTGAAAATTAATGTCATAAACATAAGTCATCAAATAAATAATGTGCTACAATTAATTGTAGAGTATAAGTAGAATTTTCAGCGATTTTGGCAATTTGTTAAAATTGGTATTTTTTTTATTTCAGTCAGAAGTAATTTTAGCGATTTTGTAATGCCTTGTAAGATAACAGTAACCTCAAGTAACCTTTTAATTTTTATGGACATGCGTGAAAGGTGGACAAAAATAGAAGAGAGAAATTTTGGTTTTAATTGTCATATTTCAAGAGGAGAAAAGGGAAAAGAGGTACAACTTATAATTGCATTAATAACATTAATAGATCTTTAAACTCCTGTATGGTAGAAAATATAATGTGAGTTAAACAAAATAGCAATAAAAAAGTTGTACATTTACGAAAGGGCAGAGTAAACTTGTTCTACAAGTCAGGTACAGTTAATTCTCGATAAACCGCCACCTTTTGTGATTTAGAAATCATGGCGGTATAACGAATTTGGCGATGAATTGAATTTTCCATCTTTTAGGAGAAAAGACGTAGAGTTATCGTTCTTAGAAATACCATTTAGCGTTTCTATTCTTATTATCACATGTACATGTATATATAAACATATTTCTAAATTTGAAAATATTTCAAGTAATTTTTTTATGTACAATTTCGCTAAAACAAAGTATTCAGTTATGAAATTAAGATAAGTATATGTGTATGTATGTAAATCTGCACGTCTGATATTGAAAAAAAAAATGCTGGGTCGATCGTCATGATATATTGCCTAAAGTACGTAAAATAAGTTCTTGAATAAATTCATTGTTTATGAAATCATTGTTAATGAAACGTTCACAATTTCTGACTTATAATTATTTTTTAAACAACCTTGCATTGTTTTTAAAAACAGAGATCATCAAAATAATATCGTTATCGGCGTACTTTACAACGACCGCTTTCGTGGCGAAGCCTTGACTAAATGATTTTATTAAAAAGAAAACAAAATTATTCTAACAGTTCATGTTAAATTCATTGTTTACTTAATTGCATGTACCTTGATTGGCTTTGCATGCTTTACAACAGGGATAGCGTCAACCAATTAGACGCGCTTCACTGACCACATACACCTGTGGCGGTATTATCGAGATAATTGACACTTAAAAATGGACGTTTGTTGTGAAAACAGGGTGGCGGATGGCGGTATGCGAATTTGGCGTTATAAAGAGAATTTTATATAGCAGGAAAAACGTTCTTGGGAAATCATGGCGGTATTGCGAAAATGGCAAAGAATCGAATGGCGATAATTCGAGAATTGACTGTACTTCTATTATAGTGGCATTTCTAAAAGTGTAAACAATGTCAATGAAACTTTGACCTTATTTGGGAGTGTAAACGAGAAAAAATCTTTAAGAAATCTTTTTCTCAAGAACAGTGGGGCCACAATATGGGATCAAAGTTTTACATAAAATTATATGGGAGAGGATCTCCTGATAAAGAACAGCAAGGATGTAGTACCTCAGGTGCACATTATGGTCCATGGACCTGTTGTTTCATGCAAAACATTTGTTCCTGTAGGTACTTATAATACTGTGAGGTATTAAGATAGAAATAAGCCTATAGACCTACTCCAGTCCTCCCTGTACCTCTGTATTGCTCTGTTGACCCCCTCCTTTTCTATAACATCCTCACTATACATGTACCTCTGTATTGCTCTGTTGACCCCCTCCTTTCCTATAACATCCTCCTACATGTACCTCTGTACAGCTCTGTTGACACCCTTCTTTTCTATAACATCCTCCTACCTCTGTATTGCTCTGTTGACCCCCTCCTTTTCTATAACATCCTCACTATACATGTACCTCTGTATTGCTCTGTTGACCCCCTCCTTTTCTATAACATCCTCCTACCTCTGTATTGCTCTGTTGACCCCCTCCTTTTCTATAACATCCTCACTATACATGTACCTCTGTATTGCTCTGTTGACCCCCTCCTTTTCAATAACATCCTCACTATACATGTACCTCTGTATTGCTCTGTTGACCCCCTCCTTTTCTATAACATCCTCACTATACATGTACCTCTGTATTGCTCTGTTGACCCCCTCCTTTTCTATAACATCCTCCGTGTCTCGGAGTCCCGCAGTGTCACTCAGAAGGACAGGGTATCCCCCCACATTAAGGGCGGTCTCCACCACGTCTCGAGTTGTCCCGGGGATAGGGGACACAATAGCAGCTGGTCTCTGACCTAAAATACAATTTATAATAAATATTTGTATATCAGAGTAGAACTTTTTAATGTTGTTTTCAGATTGTTGAAACTTGTATATGACTATATTGTTGATAAGAGATGTTTGTGAAACACTTATGCCCCCTCCCCCTGGACATACAGTCATGCGAAGAAAATAAATGGTATTAAAGTGCAAATAATTGGATTTTTTCTAAGTCCAAGGGGCATTACTCTTAAAAATTGCTCAACTGTACCCAAAACAAAACCTGACCTAGATATTTTTATGATAAATCTGTATACCAAATTTTATTTCAGTATGTCCAACCTCTGCGAAGAAGATGAACGTAAACTGCAAATAATTGGAATTTTTCTATGTTGAAGGGGCATAACTCTGTCAAAAATTGCTTGATAGTACCCAAAACAATCCAACAGACAATCCCAACCGACTGTCCGACCGACCAAAAGACAGCAGCAAAGCAACATGTCTTCCCTTCTTTGAGGGGGGGGGGGGGGGGGGGGCATGATAAAAACATAACAAAATAGCTATTATTGTATCATGAGATATACCAGTACAAATCAAATGAAATACATGTACACATGTATATGGCTGCAGCAAAAATTCCTCATTCTAAGAGTTTTATTTTCACATACATGTAGTTTATCAATAATCATGAACTGGTACATCACTTATTTATTCTTCATGTGGTACTTGTGGCTATGATTTCTAATTTTAACTCATTTCAAGAGAGAGTGAATCATTGAATGCAAGTTACTTATCTTATTTCATAGTTAAAGAGGGGATGCTCCCCCTATTTTTAGCTTCACCAAAACCTTTACAGCCCCCTATTACTATAAATTTTCTGTCAGCTTACAGATGGTGTTGAGCAGAGTGCTTTTGCCCACATTAGGTTTGCCCACGATAACGACGTGGACCCCATTCCTGAGTCTCTCCCCGCAGCGGTGATCATTCAGATGATTACTTATCTCAGCATTCAGTCTGTCTACTTCAGCAGTCACTTCATGTACAAAATATAAAAACTGTATGTTAACATCAAATTCTGTATATATACAAAACACTCTTCATCAAATAGATAACAGTGACTATCTGCAGTCTATGATAAATAACATGTACATTGTGTACTAAGTTACACTTTATATCACTGTCTGAATCTTTTCTGCAATAATAATAATTAGGCATTTTCACAAAAATTCTTATAACTTAGATTTTAAATTTTACACAACTCTGTACTTTCTTTGTGAAAAAAAAATATACTTAATATAATAGGATTAACCGCAATACAATTAAGTGTATCAGGTAATATTTTTGTGTATATCTTGTGTACTTTTAAGAGGATTGGCACATTTTTGTACTAGTTTTATGGTATTTTGCAAGAAGTTATACTGATTTTTCAGAGATTAATGTCTCTTACCCTCACTAAGAAGATCCTCTTCCAGACTCTCACTCTCAGAAAAATCTATGAAGGCTTCAATATTGGCAGCAGCCTACAAAATCACCACATGGTTTGAGAATTTTCAATTGTATGGTCAAGGTTACTTTTTATTCACTTTCCATTCTAAAGGTGCAACAATTAAGACTATTCTAAAATATTTTTTAAGCAGCAAACCCAGTATTAATGTATTCTTGATTGAAACTTTACACTGAAATTCCATTATTTAACAGAAAATATCTACAGTAGTTGGCCATAATTTAGTTCCCATAATGGCTGCCGATGTTGTATGTTTGGCTAGCTATTGATATGTAAAACTGAAATATCTGTGTAAATGACTGTGACTAAGAATCAGGCAGCCTACTTTCATGACCCTGTCCCTCCATCCTGAGTACAGCTTTCCTAGGTCCCCCTCCATCTGTCTCAGAGCCTGCTTCCTTTGGGCCTCTGTTTCAGCGTGAATTAAATCCCCTAGACCCTCCACTTCAGTAAGATCTAGCTTACCATTCATAAAAGCCCTAAAATCATGTTAAAGCAATTTTAATTTTGGCATTATTAAGGAGGGTGCTGAGATCGCTAAAATTGAATATCACCAAATGTTAATTCGTTTCTTATTGCTTCTTTTAAAATTGCTAAAATTACTGACTTGTATACAGGGAAATTTTCGCTCCCGTTTTATTTTCGTCCCTTTCCCCCTCTCCTTGATCGGCGAATTTTAAACGGGGCGAATTCAAATTACACCTCATAATTTCTTAAACAGAACTATGACTGGGCAAATTTAAAACAGGGCAATTGTTCACAAGTTCAAAAAAGCGAAAATAACCCTGTATACAGTACTTCTTGTTAAAAATTTAACACCATGCAAATCTTTAAGAACAACTCACTAAATATGTGTCTCACTAAAATTTCAACTTATACGGTATGTTCGATAGCTTATTTCAACTGTATTTTCTTTTTAACTGTAATGCAAAATAAAACTACTGGTAACAGGTCCACTCATTCTCCTCAATCACTCACCTTTTTGTAAATTCTCCTGGTTCTGCAGGTCTGTATTTTGAGAGATTCCCCAGACTTGTAACCATAGCAGCAATGACTGCTGAGCCTCCGTGAACTTGGAACTCCACACAGTCTTCTCCGGTAAAACTTTCTGGGGCTAAAATGATTTAATAATGATAAAGGTTGAAAGTAAAAAAAATTATTTTCAATCAGCACCCAAATATGATATGACGACATAACCATGTACAGCAAAAAAAAAATTTTCTGAGAGTAATGCAATAGCAATACTAGTCCCCTACCAGCAAGTGTAATCTGGTTCCGTTGAAAATTGAAAATGCCATTTTTCCATCAAAAATCATTCAAGCAGAATGGAATTCAAACTTGATCTTTAACACATTAAAGTAAAGTCACAAACCAAAAATCAGCTCAATATCTGCAAGTGTTCAGAAAAACAAATGCAGAAAACCAAGTGGGAATTAACAGACAAAAAAAAAAGACAGCAAGTAGGACAGACAATCGCAGAGGAAACCTTTAGTCCCCCCTGATTTCATTGGTAGGGGACTAAACATTTTGTCAAGAGAATGTGCTATCTTAAATTACTAAAGTGCTGAAACAGACAGATAGCTAGACAGAAAGATGGATGGACAGATGTAGATTAAACTAAAAGTCCCCTTCGTTTTCACCTACAGGGGACTAAATTATTTGTAAAGAGAATGTGCTCTCTTACATTACTACCGGAAAAACATTTTGTATAATAGTCCCTTTCTGGTGAAACTGGAGGGGACTATAGGTTTTGTATCTAGCTGTCTGCCCATTTCTCTGTCTGGCTGGTCATCTGTCCCTTCAATAACTTTTGACAGAATTACAACCTTTTCCTTTTCAAGGTTTTTCCACATTTTTTTTTAGACGTTTGCTAATATTAAGCTGAATTTTTTGGTATGTGATTTTACCTAAATGAGTTTGCATTTCATTGCGCTTCAGTGAATTTTGACGGAATTATGGGCAGCATTTTAATTTTTAATGGGAACCAAATTACAATCACCTGTAGGGGATTAGTATTGGGCAATACTTATAGAATGCTTGTTTTATATAAAAAAAAAATGATAAAGAAAAATGCAGTTCAAGCTTTATACAGTGTATTAATTTGTTTTTTACTTGCTTGTTTATCATTTTTTCTTAACTTTTGTGCATTTTAGATTTCTTTCTCCTTCAAAAATGTAATCTAGCTACTACATGTATAACCTCAATTATTCTGTTTGAACTTACAAGGAAACCAAATGACTAGTCCCCTGTCGATTGGTTCCCCCGTCATTGGATCTACTATCCTCCTGAGCTGAGTTTTCCTGGGAGATGGTAGACTCCTCGCTGAGCACATCTGATGGATGGAATCTTTGGCCTGCGGACCTGACACTCTAATAACTGCCACACCACACTTCCCATATCCAGATGACAGAGAAAATATTGTGTCTCCTACTTGTGGTAATGTACTAAGTCTTCTACAACCAACTGTAAATTCAAATCAATATTTATCATATAATTACAATATATATACTTCATACATACTATCTAATTGTAATCACATTGTAACAATTGTACATGTATATACCCCCCTAAGGGCCCTTGATTGGTGAATAAACATATTTTATTCTATTTTCGCTGAAATGATTTAGATAATAAATTTAGCTCCTTTCTTAAGATATAAACATCAATCTCCATCATCACAGATTATTTTATCTTTTATAGGTCTAAATATAGGCTTATAATACATGTATATTGAACATCTGATGCATTTTTTGTGAAAGGAGTTTTTTCCCAATAAATACATCTATAAGTACAACATACATTTACCAGTGATTAAATTTCACAGTTTTAAGATAAATGTACTGGCATCTGCGTACTTTGATTTGTTAGTTCGTAGTTTTGAGATTTTTACAACTTTGTATGAATGATACACAGTTACAAAATTAAGCTAAATTAAGGAGTTTACTAAAAATTGTTAATTATTATTAACAGAATGCAAAACAGTATAATACAAGAAATAATAAAAAGCAAGTGACCAAAATTTTACCAGTACCATAAATCTGAGGCTTTTAATTGTTTACAGTTACTTATGTAGTTCTCTGCAGGTCCAGTCCAAAGACTATTTCTACCTACCTAGCTATTAATAGCTACGTAGCTATATAAACCTACCCAAAGTAGCTATTTTTACCTACTTTCTGCTTTACTTGCATTTTGTGGCCAAACGCAGGAATGGCGCAACATGGTGAGCACTGAATTTCTTGATACAGTGGCATACTGATGATGGATATGACAAAAATTTGGCCAAGAAATGATTACTTCGTATATTATCAATTTTGCATAGAAACTAATGTAAAATTTCTGATTCAGGAAATAATCACTTTTTGGTCAAAATATTGTCTTATTCATCGTTAGTGTGACTGTATCAAAAATTATGGCATTCACCATGTTGCGCCGTTCAGTCATTTGGCCACAAAATGTAGATAATACCAAAAGTAGGTAAAAATAGCTACTTTGGGTAGGTTTACATACCTACGTAGCTATTAATAGCTACATAGGTAGAAATAGTCTTTGGACTGGACCTGCTCTGGTTTGTCTGTCTGTATTTTAACAGTATTTAACAACACTGAACCAGAGAGCTACAGTTCTGCAGAACATGAGATTATTATTTTTTTTTCTGGAACACAACCGCACATGTACCTTGATAAAAAGTTTGCTGACAGCTCCTGGGCTCATTCAGTTTTGACGTTATCGAATCTAATATTCTCACTTTGTATAAAAGATTACGTAAGAAGCGGTATTTTGACATACTAGTAATGGTTATTAATAAAATGGACCTTGAATTTTCATTTTAACCTCTTGTCTAGTCAGTAACTTCGGACACAGGACATGACACCCACACACTGACACAGTCACACTGGACAGTCGAGTCAGTCCGACAGTCTCTAGAGACAAATCCACGTTTTTTTAATCGGAAGTCAGTACTCTTTAGCGAAACAAGGAGACGGGTACACAGAAAAAATATTTCCGGATTGAGTTGTCAACACTATTATATTTATTTGATTCGCAGATATTTTCCATCGCCAATTCATTTTTGAAATCGTGTAGATCTATTTGTGTAGAAAATGTATTAACTTGTGAATGATAGTACTGATTACTAAAACCACCACTGAACCTGAATCACAGCCCGTCTAAAGTTATGGTCTACCTCAGGCGCGGATCCAGAGTTTATCCTGCAGGGGATGACGCCTGGTCCATATCATTTTCATTATGACTAATTTTTTTTCTGATCTTGTTACGTTCCGAACTATCATATTTTGGAGCGTATTGATCAAAGATCTGCTTTAAGTTGAGAATATCACCCAGCTCCAAATTTCACCACTTTTTTTTTTAAATTCCAAATATTGATTTTCATCAATGACAAAAGCATTAGATTCAGATGTAAAATAGTTTGAAGTGTGAAGCGTTGCTTACTTTTTCAGAAATGAATATTATGTCTCATCATGATGTAGAGAAAATTTGATATGGTAATTACAAATATCAACTTTTTTTTTATCTCGCAATAAAATTAAAATGTATGAGGTTAACATTGACTTTGTCAGCAAATACAATTTATTCATTGAGTCAAATGCTGACTGACGTTTTCCATACTTATTGTTAGTCTATTATTTATACACTGAATTGACGACGAATTTTTCCGTTATTTCCCGATCATGACAAGGAGCACACGTCGGGTGTGATCAGTCGGCAGGGGATGCTCACCCCTCCATGGTACCCGATTCCACCTCTGATGTTTTGGAGGTCCGTCTTTGCTCTGCTCCTGTTTTGTATTGTTTTATGGACGTTTGATCTTGAACACTGTTTGTTATCTCCATATGTTTCATTCCAAAACTAAAATATTAACAACCCTTGTATACTTTTAGCTTCTGTGTATACCATTAAATCATAAATAAAACTGGTGTTCTCACCAATATATCTTCCTTTTAGGACATCAGAAGACCCAGACTAGACTTTATTCTGTAACATAGGCATCCGGATAAAAGCACATTAAATAGAGTTATTGGTCTCCAGTAATTATATTATCATTAACATATTGTAATGATGGAGATATGATAGAGACATAAATTATGTATATCAAACAGATGTGTTCTCCAACTCCATGGGTCATTACAGAAATGCAACTGGGCGACCTTTAAAATTTTGTAATTATGCATGTATTTATCGATAATTGCCTGTTTATTTCTTTGCTAAAATGTCCGAAAGGTTACGGGATTCTCATGCAACACACGGATCTTTCATGAACTAGGTCGTCATAAAATAGGATACAGACAAGCGTACATAACAGAGTGAGTGTTTTTATTTTTTTTTAGATGAGATTGGATCCTGAGGAATAATACATGTAACTACAGTAAAACTCAATTATTTCGAACTGGTTAGTAAAATAATCTTGTTTTGTAACTTTTTTTCCAAATCCCAAATAATACTAAATGCATTGATTTGAACATATTTTATTGAGCAGCAAAAGGATAAGAAACAAGTTCTAACAACTTACTAGTTCATCTCCTTAAAATCACATAGTAATTGTCATGAAAATCATAGCAAAAACGTGTACAAATAAGAGTCAATGATATATCTAGCTAAATCTACAAGATTCATTTATAAATTTATGAACAGCGGCAAAAATGTCAGTGTTTAATTCAATTGTAAGATTTTCGTTGCCCCACAGCAGTAGGTGTACATCTATAATGTCTAAATCAAGTCGAAAAAGATGAGATTGGATCCTGATGAATAATACATGTAACTACAGTAAAACTCAATTATTTTGAACTTGTTACTAAAACAATCTTGTTTTGTTACTTTTTTCCAAATCCCAATTAATACTAAATACATTAGAATCCATCCGTGGATATCATCCTCAGTTTTTCTAAGAAAATAAAAAAAACCCTTTTTTTCTACTACTTTTTTTCTATTATGTTCAAAAGAAATTCAAACTATTTCTATGATATGTGCTTTACCTTTATGTACTTTAGGATGGTGGGCGTTAAAGGTTTGATCCTCCTGTTTTTGTTCTGTGTGGTCTACGTTCAGACCCAGGCGGAGGAGACCAGGGATGATAATGAAGACCCGATTCGCGCAGAAAGGAATTTAGACACAATCAAAGACATTGGAGTTGCGTCGTCAGGCAACGCTGCATATTCCTCAAACACGAATTCGAACAGCAACATGTTCAGAGCTATCACTCTTGCTCTGTTGTTTATCAAGGGTAACATTTTTTTTTTAACCAATAATACTAATAAGTATATAGAAAGTAAACAAAGAAATGATTGAAAAAAAATGCCAAAATTAAACTTGCAGAACTTATTAATCGATTATAGAAAAATAGGACAAAAAGAAATAAAAAGAAAATGAAGGGCAACTGTCCTTTAAAGAGAGTTTGCTAATGAATTATGACAAATATAATTTTAGATAGAGAAAGCGGTGAGGTTGATCTCCCCTTCCCTGACATCTCGTGACTGTTTGCACGAGTTAGTTCCCCATTTGGACCAGCGATTGTGAGATTGAAAACATCGTAAATATTTCGAGAAGCTTTGTTAATAATTATAAGAATAAATTATTTACTCTCTATATACTAGTATCTTATAGCAAGTTCAGAAGTATTTTTAACAACGCTCATTTTAAAAAAAGTCGTTGAAAAAAAAAATTGTGAGCAGTATAAGACCTGCAAGATCATGATCTACGTAGGAAATTTCAAAAACGATGCAAGCTCTTGACAAACAAGTTGATTAAACATTAATAAAACAGTTTCGTTTCAAATCATACTGCATGTTCTTTGGTCGATACAATGACTTCGTCAGCAAATCAATCTGTCATAAAGTTAAATGTCGACTGACGGTTTTGATACTTATTGTCATCATTTACATACTGAATTGTCCACTGACCACGCTCAACATTTCAGTGATTACAGTATTTGTTAAAGAAAGTGTAAACTTTCCATTGTCAATAAATGCATGTATATAGGGATGCGCCAAGCTCATCATTACAAATTATCATAAATGTACACCTTTTTTCAATGTACGAGTGTTCGGTAACAAATCCTTATTTAAGATATTAATCCGGTAAAATAAAGCAAAGGTTTTTCCTAGAGTTTAATAAGATTCGAATAGCATCATTTTAAATACCAATATCATCATTTCATTTTCTGTAGAAATTAAAAAAGTACGGTTCCTGCTACAAGGGTCGTTCAGTAAATATTGCAAGACGTGATTTGATAGTAAGAATAGTACGTTATACATATTCTTACTAGTTGCAATCCATCAAGGCATTCCTTACCCGTTAAACATGCCTCAGGTCTTTTTACCAATGGACAGAAAACCTCAGCAGATGCCCCAAAGACGCTGATGAATATAATTTCCCATGCTATATCTAATATTGTGAAACATATGGAGATAACGAACAGTATTAACGACGTTCGATCCTGATATTTAAAGTCTTAAACTTTTTTTGCCAAGTATATTTTTAATTAAAATTAAAATCAAAAAATGGGGGTCAATACGCTTCTTTTGGCGCTACAGTACATTTGATAAATAAAATTAAAAATTTAAATCTTATTAAAAATTATATTTTTGACGTTTTCCCTCCAATATTTTTATCCAATTTAAGCATGAAACAAAATGAACTCTAAGTTTGTTTTAAAAAAGACACTTAAAAATTGTGACTAAGAAAAAGTTTTAAATTGCTTCGCATAATCAATTATTTGACCTTTCTGTACTAATAAAAAGTGATTTTTCTGGCTTGAAAATTTAATAAGCAAGAATTTTTTTTTTAAAGTCTTAAACTTTTTCTGATTTTAAGCAAATAGGCCATATTTATCTTGAATATTTAGAAAAGAACATCAAAAGCGGGGGTATATGATGTAAATTTTTAGATATTATTAAAAAAGTGTCAATTTTACGTTAAAATTGGCTCAATTTTTTCCCGGATTTTCAGAATATATTTACTATATTTGTCACACTTTGTTGATAGAATTCATAAGAAGTATTTTAATAGATATTTCAGAACCAGCATAACACATTTAACTGCAAAAAACAGCTTTTTGTGCAACCAGGAAGGAAAAATAGGAATCCAAACTTAACAGTACTGTTGTAGTTCAAAATGGAAAGACTGATCATTTTCGTCTAAAAAACCTTCCGCCACAAAATATAGTCCCTATCTTAATTCTACTTGAATGGAATTCAATCGGTGTTTTTTCATTGACTATAGTTAAATTTGCACTGTAGAATTCAGATTTAATGTTAGAACTAAAAATGATGCAGAATTTTATAAATAAATGACCTGACCAAATTACGCTCAAAATCTCAAAATCCTTAAGATCAAAAGTCCATTAAACAATACAAAATAGGAGCAGAGCAGACACGGACCTCCAAAACATCAGAGTTTGGATCAGGTGCCATGGAGGAGTGAGAATCCCCTGTCGACCAGTCACACCCGCCGTGTGCTCCTTGTCATGATCGGGAAATAACGGAAAAATCCGTCGTCAATTCAGTGTATAAATAATGGACTTACAATTGGTACGAAAAACGTCAGTCAGCATTTGACTCAGTGATAAATTGTATTTGCTGACAAGGTCATTGTTTCGACCATAGAACTTACGAAATGATGATTTTAAACGAGATTTCTGATATTCTTGTTTCATCAATTTGTTTGTCAATAATTTACCTCGTTTTAGAAACTGTTCATACGTAGCGCATGCTCTTGCGTATCGAATCAACTGAGATACATAAACTCCATATGCAGGTGATGAAGGTATATTGCTGCATTGGTAAGGGAAGTCGATGAAATAAAAGTCAAGATTAATCATGGAGCTTGGTTGTAAGATAACCATTAACGTCTTTTCAAGTAAAATATCCAAATATGAAACAGATGAGTCAGACTCTGTTGTATCTTTTATTTCAAGTTCACCGGGATATATCGTATCGACATAAGAATGGAAATTACCATTGTTAATTGACAATACGTCGTCAATATACCTAAATGTCTTTTGTCATCCATCATGTAAGTTTATCAAAATCTTCGAATTTGTTTAAACAATATCTTTAAGTACAAATCTAGCATTTTCATATATCATGTGGAAAACAGCATCAATATTTTTTCTTATGTCTCCACAAATTTTTACCGACCAGTTTGTCCTTTTTTCCTCTTTAATTATCGAATCTTTGTGAAAACTATACAGCGTTACAGATTTTTTTTTACCACATATAAAATTCATATTTTTATCGAGTTCTTCGGCGATTTGTGTAAAAAGCGCATTTTTCACATACACTCTCATTTTCATTTTCTTGGCAGAGATCATTTATAAACTTTTCAGCTCAGTGTAGTGACCATGCTTACTTTAAAAGTGAATTTCTTTTGCGGGAACAATTAAAAAAAAATCCTGGGGTTTTCTGTGTTTAGGAACCCTTTAATAAACTTTTGAACTGTGAAACAATAAGTGACACTTCTACATTTATTATCATCAACTACATGTATGTTGCATTACTTTTTGACCGACACTCGTATTTGTAATTTTATGATGTTCCGTTCGACATTTAATACACAAGCATTTTTATACTTTTCTCTTTGTTTCTTTTCGTTTATAAAAATATATGACCATATTATTATAACATGTTATCATTGTAGTATGGGATATTTATTTATATATGAATGAAGAAAAAAGTTGAAAACGTCAAGTATATCATGATCGGGAAATAACGGGAAATTCCGTCGTCAATTCAGTTTGTATATAATGGCCTCACAATTAGTATGAAAATCGTCAGTCAACGTTTGACTTAATGATCAACTGTATTTGCTAACAAGGTCGACCATGGACAAGAGTGCTGATATTTTTGTTTCAGCATAATTCACCTCGTTTTAAAAAATGTTCATTGTGCTCTTGCGAATCAAACCAACTGAGATATATAAACCCCGTATTAAGTTGATGAAGGTATATTGTTGCATAAGTAAGGGAAGTTGACGATTGAAAAGTTAAACTCAATCACAAAGCTTGGCAGCCAGATAACCATAAACACCCCTTTCAAGTAAAATGTCTATATGTGAAACAGATGTGCTAGACTCTTTGCACTTGGTATCTTTCATTACAAGCTCATCGGGATATATCGTATGAATGAATGGAAATGACCATTGTTAATTGACAATACGTCGTCGAGTTGAAGGTCACCGCAAATGTTTTCTTCTTTTCACGTATAAGATTTTGGACAAATTCTGCTTCATGTGAATACAAAACAGGTCAGCCAATAACGGCGCGCAATTGGTACCCATGAGAGTTTCAATAAATCCCAGACATTGTCTCCAAAAACTACATAGATATTGTCAATCAGAAACTCTGGCATCTTTTTAATATCAACTTCAGAGTGATTGTAAATTTAACAAGTCCATGATTTGCAGTTGTAACTGAACACAAAAAATCTCTCCTATTGAAATGTAAAATAGAAGGAGCACAATGAAAATATGTAAGAAAGATTCTATAAAAGTCTCATAAAATTTGATTCTAAGGTTTAGTTAAGATGGGTAGCCCCATGATTTACGACATAGGTATATTATATAATGCATGGAAAGACGTAAGATCGAACACCCCCATCACTATATACCCCTGCCTTTTTCAAGCTGGAATATAATTCTATATACTCGTATATGCAATTCACCAAAGTGGAAAATATCAAATATACCGGTAATTACAACTTTTAAGTGCCATTTGATTTTAAACTCTAAACAGATTTGAAATTTACGTAAATGTCAAATTCGGTAATTTTATGATGAGAATACAAAATGGGATCCAATAAATGAAATGATGGCCCATTAAGGGATTCATTTTCTCTGGAATTTAGATATGAAGTCGTAGGTCGATCGCTAGGAAGCTCAGCCATTATTATGTATAATGATGAAATTAGTAAACCTAGTATGTTTCAAATTTAAATCCATGTCATCTCTTGTATTTGAGCATAACAGATAAAACTCACCATATAAAAAGACGAAGAAAAAAAGACAAGGTATGGAATTTTATACTTCAGATTGATGAGAAAAAACTAACTTCTCAGGAAAGTCACAAGTTTTTCCTCGCCGTGACAACCATGAAATCTTTGATTTTTTTTTTTTTTTTTTGTCCAAAAAGGAAACTGTATTTCGAATTTGCTGACGTCAAGCAGTCGTATTTAATTGAATATGAAGGTAATACTACTTCTTTTCATTCACTAAAAAAATACATGTGTGAATATTTGTATATATTAATTATAAAGGATGATGGTCAGCCGTGTTCTGCTTTTGCTGTTTGGGGTTTGCCTGGTCTTCAGCCAGAGCTATGCCGGTTCGATTAGAGACAATTCGGAGATCGCTGATGATCAAACATATCCGGGGTGGTACATGCAAACTGATCGAGTGCTCGTGTCAGATGGCGCTTCCTCATGTCGCTTGACCAATGGCAGTACACTGTTATTGTTTGGAATCGTTACTGCTGCTCTTCTGTTTGTAAAGGGTATGATCTTAAATTACTAAATTTTTATATTTGAATGTAAACTAAAAAGATATTTTAAACAAGTATTCGCTTCATTTGTTTGTTTGTTTGTTGTTTTGCGTCCATCTCGAGAATTTTTCACTCATCTTGAGACAGCACAATTCGCCAGTGGAGAGCTGCAATTTTTTCCTATACACGGCGCGTAGGGGATCTTTTCGTGCCAACACCTACTGCGACACGAGATAAATCGAATACGGTCTCGTCCGAAGGACCGGTCTCCACGTCCTACAGTGGGATTCGAACCCGAGACTTGAGAATAAACTCCTTACTTCACGACTCTAAAGCAGAGGCCACGCGAGCGATACTACCACCCATTCTCAATATAAGGGCTCAAATAATGTCGCCTCATTTTCATTTAAAAGAAATACCACTGATGTAATTTTTAAATCAACATTATAAATAGTCATATAACAATGAATAAGAATTCATATAATTATCGATCTGAAAGGGTATTTAAGGAGTTCCAAATTCAAATATAGTAGCCTATTTGAAATGTACGTTACTGTCGCCGAGGCAAATATTATTCTGAATCCCCTCTGTGTAATATATAGTTTTGATTCTCAAGTAAAAATTTTCTGATAAGTTAAACCTTGTATCATATATATTTCTTTTCATAACAATAAATACATTTTCTTTGTGATAATAAATAATTTTTATTGTGCAACGTCCCTGTCGCTTAATTCTATTTCAACCACATTACAAACAAACACAAAGATTATACACCTGATAGTTTTGTTCTCCTTTATTTATTGATGGGCTAAATTTGAAATTTCAAAGGATTAATTACTCCTACTTAGATAATGTAACATGAAATAAAACAACTTGAGCAACTTTTATAAATATGTTTACGGAATCAAAGACATTTTCAATCGTAGAGATAAGAAAGAAATGTACGTTACCTATATTCTTCCATTAAGAATACATATTAAGTAGAAAATATGAGACGACTCTGAATAAGCAACCCCTTGTATCCTGTAAACTGGCAAAGACGTTTTGCTTAACACAATTAAAAACTATTATTTACATGAAAAGTGATCATTTGAAATGTACGTGACTGAAATGTACGTTACCATGAAATTCGAATTAAGTGAATCTCGCACGAATTTTCATGTATTCTGATACTTTCACACACTCGAATGTGTACACAAAGGAAAGTTTCAAAGGTTGGAGGTCGGCTAAATCCCAAAATTAATGAAAAGAAACGTCTCTGCTGAGGAAAAAAATATATTAAGGTCAATTATTATGTAATATAATTTTGATACCTGGTATATATTTCTGAATACGAAACCTGTATGATGCATTTCTTATGATATGCAGGTTCAAATAGTATCAACATATTGCGTGTCTAACATATGCTTGTGGAAGAGAATTGATTTTTATATTTGAAATGTACGTTACGTATGGTAACGTACATTTTATGTATTTCTAACTGACAATTTTTTAAATTAAGTCAATGAATTGCGTTTACACGAGCGAAACAAAATTATCGTTACAATCCATTTGACAACTGGCCACATAAATCCATCTAAATGCACCCCCAATCCTCGTAAATGTTTTTAACTGTTACCACATGCTAGAAAATTTATTTCTAAGTGTCTTAAATTCATCTTTGGCAAACTTTTTGCAGTTTGTTTACTTTTCATATGCGACTTTTCGTCAATATTAATTGAATTGTTGTTGATAATTTAAAACAAGGTATGCATAGGCTTATAATTGGTAAAAAAAAAAAAAAAAAAAAAAAAAGAAAAAGAAACAAAACAAATAAACCCAGAACACAAAACGGTCACGTACATTTCAAATACTGTATACTCAGTTTTGTTTGAATCATTGCATTTTGGGTTATATTTTTCCAGATCTGCTGAAAAGCACGTATGTTTGTGTTTTGAAAAACGATGTTGCAACATACTAAATGAAATTGTTAACAAGACTGTCGATGGATATATTCGGAATAGATTTATGTTAAGTTTCAATGACAAAACACGAACATTTGTTAGATCATAGCAAAATACATCTGACTCTTATATTTTTTTGTCTGTACCCTTGCACACAGTTAGAAGTAACTAGGCTACGACCGGTGTCAATTTCAGCGAAACAGCACAAAAGAATGGTAATGAACTGAGGTGGAGGGGACTCCCCAATAATATATGAAATGAACGTTACCGAAGTGACGTGACAGTCATGTAGTTGATGACAATAACCTCGTTTGTTACATTATGATTTCTTATATTACTGCCTTAAAACGCTTCATTGATATGATTTTTATGTCAATAATTGCTTTTTTCAATATTTTCTTATTACTAATTCACATATTATTACAAGCTTGAAATGTACGTTACCTACTCATATTCTGAGGCAATCGTGTCTTTATAGTGGTGATTGTGACATATAACGCAATGTGATTACATAGAGAATCTTTTTTGGAATAAACTGAAACAAAACGATGAATTTTTAAATGAATTTTAGATGAATTTTAAGCTTTTTATTAAACAGAAATATATCTTGAAATGTACGTTACATTTACATAGTTTTCTAAATCGGCATGGATATATGTTAAAAAAGAAGTAACTACAAAATAGAATTTTACTACATGTACATGTTAGGTTCCAGTATCTATTAAAAATGACAAGATTCCAAACTGATCGCTCTTAACTAAACAGAGAGAAGAATTTAAAGCATATATTTAAAAAATGTTTTTATACATCTGGATCAAAAAGTAACCTTTGTTTTTTGAAAGGAAAAATCAAACGCACGTTCGTATGCCGCGAAAATATGTTGCTGACAGAGTTGGTAGGATGTGCTGGTGTTAAGATGAGATATTCCAATTGTGATTTTAATGACTACATTTTTTTTTACATATTTTTTTGGACATTGAAGAAAGAGTAACGTACATTTCAAGCTACATTTCTGAATAAAATCACCCTGTACTTTACCATCTTGTCATTAACCCATGTTTTAATATTTGATGAAAAAAATCTGGAAACAAAATCTTCGGATACTTTCTTTCAAAGGTAATTGATGGAAAAATTGTTATCTTGAACTTCATTTTTTAAAAAATCAGAGAGGCATTTGTGCCCTTATATTGAGAATGGGTGTACATGTAATCCTCTTTAAAGGCGTGACGTTACCGGATGCACCATGCTCAAATATTTTACTCAGATTCATAATACCATAAAATACATAAGAATATTTTATTGTCTTATATTTACATTATTAATGTCTTTCTCTGAGATTAAACTACAAATAGCAAAAATACTTGTTTTCTACATAAAGCGCTACGTTCATCGATAAGCGTGGTTTAAGAAAACAAGAGGGCCATGGGGCTTATACATTGTAGGTCATCTGAGCATCATGCAACATCTTTCCAATAATTGAATTTGGTTCATGTTTTAAATCAGAGGCCATGATATTCACAATTTTGAAAGAGCCACCATTGCTCATCATAACTATACATTTAGCATGTTTAGTTTGGTTTAGTTACTTAATACCCATAGGCAGAGTAGGGGAACAAAAATGCATTTTAAGTAATCAGTAATATTCAGCAATAATTAGTAGTGCCCTATCCCACAAGAACCCCTTACCCTAGGTCCACACATTTAACTATTTAGGAAAAGGCACCCTTTCTCATTATACATGTTTAATTAATATCAAGGAGTAGTTTTCAAAGAATTAATTCAGTATATAATTAGAAACTTTCACCCACGCCTTCTATGGCTACCTCTGATCCAGGGGCCTTGAAATTCACAATTCTTGAAGAATAGCCCTTAATGCATGTTCACAATATATCAATAGAGCCCCGCCCTAACATCAGAACCTCTAACCCTGGGGCCATGAAATTCACAATTTTAGAAAAGGCAACCTTCCTCATTATAACTATGTATGTAGTTAGTTTGTTTTCAAAGAATTAATGCATTTTCACTTTATAATCTATATAGCCCCGCCCTAGCATTAGAACTCCTGACCATGGGGCCATGAATTTCTCAATTTTGGCAAAAGGACTCGATGCTTATTACATTCATACCAATAATTTGACTTCTTGATGTCCAGGAGTCAAGAAGATTTTTAAAGATTGCATAAATATTAGTCGTTTTGGTCCCACCCGTCAGGTCCCAGGGGGCAGGGACAATGAAATTCACAATTTTTTTTGCTATATGCCAAAATTTGTTGAAATTGGTTGAACGGTTGCAGAGAAGAAGCTGAAAATGTTCAAATGTTCACGCACGACGCACAACGACGGACGAAAACCGACAGCAACTCAGGTGATCTTACAAATCATTTCCGGGGCGGGACAGAAGTAAGCAGAGAATGTAGCAAATACATTAACGAAATCAAGAGCATGTCAATATTAGGCATAACTGTCGATTATTGAATATCTGTCAATTATTTGTTTTTGTTTTGTGCTGATGATTAAACGATTGGTTTGATTGATAAATTTTATTGCCGAAGGCGTGTGTTCGAACCTTGGCCGCGATTGCTATTCTGTATTCTAGCGCTCGATTGGAGTGAATTTTGCGGGTCTTTCTTATGAGATCTTAGAACCGAAGTTCCGTGTCAAGGCAGGAGTTGCCACAATAAAGAACAGTCACTTCTAAGTGTGTAGTTGCAGAAACTGTAATGTCATGATTTTAAATTAGAGTCTAATACGTTAAACCATAACGTTACAAATCCTGTATATAATGCAAATATTGTGCTATTTACGGCGCAAGATTTGAACTGCGCATGACTGGGGTGTATTTCTCTACTTTTCAATATTAGATGTTATATGGTTTAACGTATTAGACTCTAATTTAAAATCATGACATTACAGTTTCTGCAACTACACACTTAAAAGTGAGTGTTCTTTAGATATACCCCGGTAGATTATAACCAATATATTTTATATATCTGTTATATAGATATATTTTAAAACCAATATCTGTTGACCGTTGGTCTAAATTGTGGTATTTATTACTATCAGGACAAAACATTATTTCTTTTCCTGTTCATTATACATGAAAGGCAAAATAATATTCCTTTTTGAACAAATTGAAATTTCTTATCACTAAACAAACAATTGATGTCCAGAAAAGCTTAAGCTTTCAGTTAAGATAAGCTAAAATGCATATACATGACGTATAAGTTAACGTAGTTTTCATTTTACTCCTACTTTTTTTGAAATGATATTTTTTTTTTTTGCAGGATGATGGCATTCAGCAAACGTGCGTGACGGTGTATTTTAAACAAACATTTCAATTAAAGATGATTTAAAACTTAATTGAACAAAAAATTACATATTATGCACTTGTCGGTGGATGCGGTCAGTCGTTGGGTCGGGTGATGGCTGACTGTTTTTTTTACACTGGTTGTTAAGCCATTGTTTACAAATTGAATTGTGAAGGTAAACCAGGCGGGGGATGCTCAATGACGCCTTATCCCACCTTTAATGTTTCCGAGGTCCGTGTTTGCTCTGCTCCTGATATGTATTGTCTGAATGGACTTTTGACCTTGAATACTTTTTGTCTTCTCTATATATTATTTTCATGAATTGATTCAGAGCACCGAAGCTTCTAAAAACTTGAAATGCATTCAATAAAAAAATCAATGGAATACTTTACCGGGTATATATTCCACGTTTTCACCTAAAAGCAGGGAATAGCAAACAAGAAATCAAAGGATAATTTTATTTCTAGGAGTCTACCGTAAATGAGTGTAAAGTAAAAATAATCTTTACACCGGCTTAATGTTTTCAGTTAAATAAAGCTTTAAAAACGTTTTCATCAATTGTAATGCATTTTAAGTTCTCCGAAATCTTAAAACAGATTGATTGATTGAAATAAATAAATTAAAAAAGAAAAAACATTTGCACACCTATTAATAGTTTACGATGAATTGAACCCCCTATAACTTTTCATACCAATGTTCTACTAAGTCTTTTTTACTCCTTACTAAAATATTGACAGAAAAGAAGGAGAAACTTCGGGAGAACTGTCAGTTAGCAACAACATATTCGAGAAGTGATGTACTAGTAAGTCAGACGTGGATGCTAAAAATTCCAAGGAACTTTTGGTGAATTTTAAATAACAAAATTTTACCAAAAAAATCAACATCATATTAAAAACCTACAACTTTTCAATTTTATATACATCCATTACCCAACATAAATTAAAGTCATGGTTTTTTTTTTATATCATTGACAGATGCTTTGTTAATAAAAATATGGAACTCGTAAATTACCTTGTCATTGGTCATTTGCAAAATTTTTTTGTTAAAAAAACATTCTGATTGTACACAAAAGTACTTTGAAGTTGGCATCAAAAATATGATATTAAAAGGATGCTTGACTTTCTGATTGACAATATGTATGCGGTTTTTGCAGACCAGGTCTTCCAAAAATCCATTGGTACCCAAGGGTATCAATTGCGCCCCATTATTTGCGGACCTATTTTTATATTCTTGTGAAGCAGAATTTGTACAAAATCTTGTACGTGAAAAGAAAAAAGCACTTGGTCTTTAACTCGATATTAGCCTTTAACTCGATATTAGTATTTAGATATATCGACGACGTATTTTAAATTAACATGATTATTTCCATTTTCATGTCAATACGATATATCCAGGTTAGCTTGAAATAAAAAAAAAAAGTACCACAGAGTCTGACACATCCGTTTCATATTCGGATATTTTTCTTGAAGAAGACGGTAATTGTAATCTAACAGTAAAGTTTTATGATAAACGAGATGAGTTTCACTTTTCACACTTGTATACAGGGTTCATACCTCTCTGTTGATTTGATATGCGGATCATGTGCTACGCTATGAACAATTTCCAAAACAAGGTAAATTATTGACAAACAAGTTGCTGAAACAAGAATCTCAGCAGTCTCGTTTAAAGTCATCATCTCGTAAGTTCTATGGTTGATACAATGACCTTGTCAGCAAATACATTTATCATATAAGTCAAATGCTGACTGGCGTTTTCCATACTAATTGTTAGACCATTACATACACACTGAATTGTCGTAGGATATTTCTTTTTTTTCCCTGATCATGACAAGAAAGGCATGTGTGACCGGGGATGTTCACTCCTCCATGGCACCTAATCCCACCTCTGATGTTTTGAAGGTCTTTGTTTTCTCTGCTCCAATTTTGTATTGTTTAATGGACTTTTGAGCTTGAATAATGTTCCATATATTTCATTGTTAGTATGTTAAGAAATTAGAAGTGATATGTGAGATTTTGCAAAGGTACGACATTCTATTTTCACTTCTTGCATTATGTAAAAATTCGTAAATAGAAGAAATAATCTTTCACATATGAATAGAAAACATACTTTTTTTCTGAACTCTGGATATTTATAGCTTTTTATCCCCAGATAAATTTTCAATTAGAAAAACAAATAATGGATGTTTTTTATTTACATTTCCTAAAAATACATACTAGTAGCAGATTTGTTAAATTGCGTATAATTTATAATATAATAAATGAGAATGAAAAACCCCTATGAATGTAAAACAATATTAAATCAAAGAAAAATGTGAGTGAAATCCCATTACCTTGAAATTTTGATCTTTCTTCAAATATTAACAATATTTTTCCAGATATCAACTAAATATTTATGATTAATTCAAGACACTTCAGTGTCTGCCACATCTACTTCATGTTTGGTTTTTTGCTTACTGTAGACGATAATTGCCAACTAACTTGCATTGCAGACGGGATGACTTTTCCATCGGCAACATAGAAATACCAATATCATTTGCATTTGATGGCGATGTTCCCCAATTAATTTCATTGGTTAGAGCATGCTTCAAGTTTGAAACATTTTTAAAAAAAATTTGATGTAACAAGGATTTTAACAACCGCGTTTAAAGTCACATTCCCGTTTATACTACTATTCTTTAAGTATAATGATCCTTTTAGTAAATACAACCCACCATTGTGTAGAATTTTGTCGTATGTTACTTTTTTTTCATATCATTTGTAAGGCAATTGCTTTTACAACAAATTGGACTAACATCTACCTGATCAATACAATGGGCTTACATCGGGTGTGATCGTCAGGGGGTGCTTACTCCTTTTAGGCACTTGATCCCACTTCTGTTGTTTTTCGGAAGTACTGGAGTATTTGTTCTTGCCCTGTTTACGATTCATGTTGTTTATGTTATTCAACAGGTGTAAGAGATCATGATCATATTTTCTTCATAACTAGTGACCTCAAAAATAAGAAAAATTTGAAGATCTATTTGTATAATATTGTTTCAAGAATTTTCACAAAAGTCAAACATTCTTAATAAGTACGTATATGTACAAATTACATCATTGAAAGAAGAGAAGCTAGTCAATCTTATCAGTTTATTAAAACAACATAACTCCGAAACAAATAACGATGGGTTTGTCTCATTTTGAACCAGAGATATTATTTCTCATAGGTAAACAAACTATGTATATGTAAACATAAGATTTTCAAATGATAGGAGAAGTAAAATATATTTATACAATATACATTACCAATTCTTTATAAATACTAACAATATCATTTATACTGCTTCATCATTTTTAGCCGGGCTTATTGCTCAAAGAGCAATTGCCGGTGTAAAGACGAATGACCCCCATCAAATAATGACCGGGGGCTCATTTTTCAACGACAAAAAATGACCCCCTCCCGTAGAAAAAAATCATTTTTTGTAGAAAAAGGGTCCTAGGGGGTCATTATTTTATATGTTAGTCCTATAAAATAATGACCCGCATTGAAAAATGACCCCCTTTAAAGTGATACAAAATATACACTCTTTGATATCTTTTTTACAGCGAAACTAATTTTTCCATTTTCTGTAGCCAGAAAAATACAAAAAGTCGTATGAAATAATTAAGAGATTCACGTGGTCTTTCAATGCTGAAATTGTGTTTGAAAAGAGATTCTTTAATTGTCAAGTAAATAAAATTTCTTTTTAATATTCCTCCTAATAATGTTTGCTTAAAGAATGATATTCCGCTTGTTTTTAGAAATAAAACCATGCAAAAATCAGGTTTAAATACTTTTTAAATAGGAAAAATTAAATTTTCCGTCATTTCAACTTTCAGTTTGTTTAAGTTTGGCAAATCCTATTTGACAATGAAGAGGAGGAAATTTTTATCCCCCCCCCAAAAAAAAAAAAAAGAACATTACGTTAAATCACACCAAAAAAAATAATAATAAATGAAAAACAAAAATATAAATAAAACACTATACCTTTCAATAATTCTGAAAGAGGCTATAGATAAAATATTGAAATGAAGTTAAGCCTTCACACAAGTACTGTCATATCATAATTTACTTCGCCATGATTAAAGCATACTTTAAATGTTGGTGGAGGTATACTTGAAAGTATTGTGGCAAAGTAACAGTTAAACATTAGTAGAATTGTATATTATTTTTAGCTTATTTTTAATTCCTTCTTATAGAAAAATAAAGGTAGGGTGGTTTTTTTTTTGCTTTTGTTCAATATCGACTTTCTCCTAAATAAGAAAAGGGGTGGGGTAAGTATAAGACCTAAAAATATGCTCTGTAAAGCTATGGGCTAGTGTAAAATACACAGTCATTCTAATGCAAAAACTATACATGTAGACATAAACTTTTGATTTAGCACACGGTATTCATTTAAGAAATAAGGTATCATTTTTTGAGTTTTATTGAGATGTAAAACGGGTTGGTCACGTGATCAAATCCCATAAAGCCCGAAGGGCTTTATGAAAGATTTGTTCACGTGCCAACCCGTTTTACATCCCAGTAAAACTCAAAAAATGATACCTTATTACTTATATTTACATTTGTGACTTATTCATATTTTAAATTTGCCTGATTGTGACTTTTAACGTGTGAAATGCATTATTTTTCAAACCCAACGGCATGTATATGTAATCCACTGAACGCGCGTCGACCCTTTATGACGTCACTGAGAAATTACGTCGAACGTTTATCCATACGAACATCTATGACCTCTTGACCCCCTACCTGTATTTATACAGTTATAAAAACGCTTGCTTTCAGTAGTGTTATATAAAGGAAAACATTTGCAAATGTAAATGTTACATTTCTTTTAACGTAGAACCTACTTCGTATGACATCATAACTGGTAAATGTGTTAAACCTGTGCTAACCCATTAAGACGTCATAATTAATTCTATGCCACTTTTTCCCGTACTTGACAGCTTCAATAAAAATGGTAGAAAATACTGCATTTTGAAATTCACAGAATTCAATCATGCCAACATAATCTTAATTCAATTCATATATTTT